CTGAAGGCGGTGTGGAAGAGCATCAAGCTTCCTGTGCCACGTTGCCCTCAACTTCTCCAAAGCCACTTCAATGAGGGCTTGTCCTTCTCCTCACCCATGAGAGTGCTGCTAAATAAAGGAAGCTATTAACATCCACTTGGATATGTTCAGTGTCTCCCAGCCACCACAAGCGATCATGCATGGCAGGAGGATGGAGGTGGCAGCGCCTTGATGTTGCTCCTGCCTCACCTTGCTGGCTGGCTGTCTACTCTCACCCTCTCAAGACTTCCCATTTTGTCATCCGGAGAGTATTGACCTCAGGAACGGAATGGAACAACCTAACTTTTCTCTTGAATGCTTCCAAGTATAAAGCAGCTCACAGGATGGGCAAGCACCATTCCTCCTGCTTTTCACTGCGGTCTTCCCACAGATTTTGTATTGTGGGAGAGCTGTACTTGACTGGGCTGCTCATCCCCTGATTTCAGGCTAAAAGATCATTTGCAATCTGCTCTGCTGACTCGCCATGCCTATGCAATATCACCCTAATGCATACCTACTCCACTGAATACCAAGTACCCTTTAGATAGGCAGCAATATCCCCTGGCTCTCTCCATGATACACATATCAGCTCAAATTTGGGGAATGCTTCAGGAGATGTGTTTATCAACTGCTTGAATAAATCACCCTATGGAGATGGTATATTTACCCCCTTTTCTTGAACGCATTGCTTTTCAATATATAGCACTGTTTGCACAATAATCTTTCACCTGGCACAGCCAGCCTCTATACAGAGGTGCTCCTGTGGCACTTCGCATTTGATGCTGGATGCCATTGAATCAATATACAGCACGTTAAGCAAGGAAACAACATTTCCCCCAGTGGAAAGCTGTACGTGTTAATCAGCACCAGCCCCATGTGGACCAGTTTGGTCTCAGGGAAGGGACACGAGTTGGCTCCCTCAAACCTTTGGCATTCCAGAAGCGATGCCAAATTTCCTCAAGGTGCTGCAACAAAGGTCCTTCCCATGGTGGTTTAGGGACAGGGGGACGCGGAAGGGCTTGGATTTAAGCCTTGCAGAACTTTACCCTTAGGGTGTGAATGAGCTTCCCAGGGGGTTCATTTGGAGCAGGTTTCTGCCTGCCAAGTGCTGCCAGCCGTATGTGAACAGTGAAAGGCAGGAGCTCAGGCCAGGGAGCCTCTAGGTGTCACTGCCATGCAGCAGAAATGGACCCCAGTGCCAGAGCAAGATGGGGACACCAAGCCCAGGCACAGCTGGGGCACAGCTGGCAGCAGGCACCCAGGGTCCATGGAGGGCAGTGGGAAACCTACCCTGCAAAGGCTGGTGCACTCACAGTCTGCCTGAGCAACCCATTCCCCAGGGCTGAAAAGGTGCTGCTGTTGTAGGACTGGGAGCAATGAGCGTAGGCAGGGATTGCAGGGTGAGGCATTTCAGGTAAGGAATTGCCAGGAAATAGTAAAGCACTTCAGTTCCAGCCATGTGGCAAAGAGATCCTAGAGACAAGAGCTAAGGCTAAGCACAATAAGGCCACTTACAGCTGGTATCAATCCCCTACCCCCAGCCAAGACATGGTCCCAGTATATGCCTGCTGAGCCACCTAAACACAGGGTTCACTCCTGATGGATTTCCATCTGCCTCCCTGAATTTGCAGTACTGGGAGAAGGACGGGTATATCTCATTTGGGAAAGGGTCACCATCTCACTTATGGCAGCAGCAAGAGCTGAGTGCTTCCAGGCTTGCAGGCATCCCTCCACATGGGAATACGGGTCCCTTACTCTTGCACCCTTACCTGAGAGATGCCTGTGACTCTGCAGCCCATGTGGTGCCATGGCATGGCTGGTCCTGGCTTCAAGAACTGCACTGCATTAGGAAACAAACATAGAGACCATTAGTGCACACCTTAAGGTGCATGAGCCAGTGGGCTGCTCACAGCTGGGACAGGCTCACTGCAGCATGGGCATCAAAACCACAGACTCTGAGGCTTCTGGGAATGCTGCATGCTGGGGATGCTCTGGGAACATCCCATCTTAGCACTGGGAGAATGCTCTGGGAACATCTCCATCCATCCTGAGACGACCTGGGGATCATTTCTGCCAGGCACACGCCAGATGTGGGGCCTCTGTGTCTCAGGGGTAGGGCAGTAACAGCAGGGCTTCAACATCTACATCCAGGGGCTGTGTTTGCAAGGTCAGCTGTCACCACTTCTGCATCAAAGTCCTTCTAATGCTAATGGTTGTCTCAGACCCTACCTAATTTCATCAGCTCTTTATCCCATCTTCAACGCTAGGGAGTTCAGAATCAGTAATGTCATCTGCTTCATCTTCTGCTTCTTTATGTTGCCAGCTTCTCAGCCTCTTGAGGGTTTTAGCATCATCAGGATTCAAAAATAAAACATTTGTTCAAGGTCCTTCTCTTCAATTTCTAATAGGAGATCCTCTCAGGGCTTTTCAGCTTTGTCCCTGAGGACTGGAAACTGATTTTAATTCAAAAAGTTGGAGATGGTATTATCATAATTGCATGAATCCCAGAGCTTTCACAAGTGTGAGAAACCTCATGGGGACCGCACTAACATTTCAGAGCTGGCAAACACGGAGTAAGGTACACAGAGGACTGTGCACAGAAGAATTCAACAGGGGCCCCATCCCCATAAAGTTTGCCTTCACAACTTAATCACACAAAGATGAGATGCAGAAGTTATTCCTCTTTACCTAACACCCCACTGATCTAAGCTGCTTTTGTTTTTAATGTTAGGCCCTGTGTTTGTGAAATGTATTAAGCTTCTTGTTGGCTTTGGAAATAACAGTCACGGCTGTAGATTGGCCAAATCATTGTTTTTCTCCCTATTGACCCAACATTTCTTTTTTCCAGGCCACCAAACACCCTTGACTTTGCTTGTGGGATGGTTAATCAACAAGTCTGTCACAATGATGGATTCCTCCTGAATTGTTGCCTAATTAGCTTGGTTGGAAGTATAAATCAAGTGGGATACCAATTCTTCTAATGCTACAGACAGGCAGCCACACTCAGCTTGACAGCAGTGAGTTATAACTTTCTGCCCCAGTGCAGGATCAGCATGCAGGCGCCAGCCTGCAAGCCCAAAGGGGCCTTAGGCTCATCTTGGAGAGCACTGGCATGCACAGACCACACACACCAGAGTGAAAGGTTGGTGTGGTGGAGGTTGGTGACCAGCTGCAGGGGCTCTGTACATGGGCATACACACACCCCTTTCATGATATGAGCCACATCCCCATCGTCTGCCCATGGGGAGACAAGTTTTATATCGCCTGGGATGCCTGGTGTCTGCTGCTAACAAGACCAAGTTTAGAGACAAGGGCTGGAGAACCAGTCCTGTGAAGAAAGGCTGTGAGAGTTGGGTTTGTTCAGCCTGGAGAAGAGAAGGCTCCAGGGAGACCTTAGAGCAGCTTCCAGTGCCCAAAGGGGCTGACAAGAAATTGGGAGAGGGGCTTTTTGTAGTGACAGGACAAGGGGGAATGACTTTAAACTGACAGAGGAGAGATTCAGATGAGGCATTAGGCATAAGTTCTTCCTTGTGAGGGTGCTGAGGCGCTGGCACAGGGTGCCCAGAGAAGCTGTGGCTGCCCCATCCCTGGCAGTGTTCAAGGCCAGGTTGGACAGGGCTTGGAGCAACCTGGTCTAGTGGAAGGTGTCCCTGCCTGTGGCAGGGGGTTGGAACTGCATGAGCTTTAAGGTCCCTTCCACCCCAAACCAGTCTGGGATTCTATGATCTTTGTCTCACGATAAGCAGCACTGCCTTCCACAGAAAAGGAGTTACACATCATAACAAAAATAAAAGTAATGTATTGCTTGCAAATTAAGATTTTCTAGAGTGATCTTAACAGCTTGCTATTTTTATAGGTGGGACTGTCACACAACAAGAATGCATGTAAACCTGTTGACCTAAACTGAATTTCACAGTTTTACCATGGGTAACTTCTGTGTAGCTACAAACAGCTAGTTCTCAGCATGTCTGAGCCAGCTAGAGCATCCCTGAGCTGTGTGGTGGACATCGCGCAGAAGTACTTCCAGATTTCTACTTACCCTTTTTGACTTCCCAGGCTAAACTAAGCAAATATACATCTCTGAATGGCTCTACTAATACATCTTTTTAGCAAAGCATATTTATTTGTCCGTGGCCACCTTTTTCATTTATCCTCTCTCTTTGCCGGCATATTCAGAGAGCTTAACAAATGACCAGTGATTTCAGGTGGGATGTGTAAGTCACACACTGGAGAAGGAATTGGCTTGTTTAACTGAAAAAAGCATTACAATAACCTAATTTTAGTGATTTCCTTTCCTATCGTTTTCAGTGAAAGTTTGGGCTCTCCAAGCTGCAGAACAAGACACTGCGTGGACTGACCTCGTGATAACAAAGACTAGGATCCCTTCTTTACCTTGTGACATAGTTGTTGCTGTGCCATGTAACATCTCGTTGCCAAAGAAGTAAATCTCTTACTAGTGTGTGGATGGCCCAACGGAAACTTGTGTAGAAGGTCTGGGTGAGGCACGGTGTGATGTATATTGCCATGGAAACCCTGAGTTGTTTTCATCCATTGACATTTGCATTCTTTTTGGCATTTTCATAGACACAGTTTTCAGAGATCTCATTTTTCAATAGCTGAGTGGAATTGATCAGTAGATTCACTGTTATCACCATAACAAAACCTCTGAAGGTGGAGTTTCTGTGGGGGCTACAGCCGGGTTACAGTTATCTAGCACATTTAAGCTAAACTTCCGAGCAGGAATTATATCTGAAGAAGCCCTATACTTTTAAAGACATCAGGGCAGAGAAAGAGGAACTTGTCTCTTCCCAGACAGTCCTGATATTGATGCTGGGAACCAGAAACAAACCACTGAGCAATCTGTTTGACATCTCTAATATGCCTCTTCAATGCCCTAGCAAATCAAATGGAATCCCTACGGCTGGTGAACTGAAATATGCACAAGACTTGATTTTCTTTGTCTTTTAATTTATTAATAAAAAGTTAAAAAAAATCACAAAGCTTCTGGCAATATTTATGAATTATGACTAATTTCTTCAACCTTTTTCTGGCATTTAGAAATAGCACTCAAGCAAATTAAGAAATAATTCAAATACAACTGTGTCTTAATTGTTTTTGTTACCTATGTGATACACTCCTTCCCCAAAAGGCCTGATTCTATTCTTGTTTGCCATAGAGTTAATGGTGCTGTTCCTGACTAATGTGCATTAACAGGAGAACCAGCCATACTATTTACAGGAAGATGAAAGGAGATTACTATAGTCAGCACTTCAAGCTTGAGCAGACCATTAAGTACTAGCAGCTCGCCCATGGAGCGCTCTCATTATCTCCTCTTCTCTGTCCAAAGCAGCTCCCCTTTGCCTGCAAAGGACTCTTCATCCTGACATCTGAGTGTCATCAAGCATAAGCAGATATCCATGGGGAACCTGGCTTCACTCCTTCACAGTGGCTTTTCAAGCACCCCATGGATGGCTCTTGTGTCGGATGGCCTTGGGCTGTGTCCTGCAGAGGAGCAGAAAAGCCACCTATAACAAGAGGTAAAAAAGACTCACTCAAAACACAGGTAGCTGGAGATCAGTCTTTAGAAGTCACTTATGAGAGTATCCTGTTCAGCAAACACCAAGTGTTTGTTAGGCTCTAGTCTGAAGAGTTTCAGTCCTCTGAGGGGCCCATGCTGAGGGTGCCCAGTGTCTGGCAGCAAGTGGCTGCTAAATTGCTCAAGTGATTTTAATTCAAAGCCGATAAGTGAAAATTATGATTAATTATATATTCGCAGGAGTTATGATCAGTTTATGAATGATTCATGAAAGAAAAAAGGAAGGCTAAATAGACTATGAATATCATTTGCAAGCAATAATTCAGGCAACTTCATCCCCCAAAGCGAGGTCCTGCTTGTCTCATGTTTACCTAATGACAGCCTGCAGTGCAAGGAGTGGGTGCTGTGCTGTGAATAATCTGTTTCTGCACATCAACGCAGCAAAATACAGCTTTGCTGTGACAAAGGGAAGGTGCAATCTCCAAAGCTCTCCAAAAACAAAGGCCATTCTTTCAAAGGAATAGCTGTGCAAACTGTGCTCAGAGGGGTGAAGGCATATTGAGGGGAGAAGCTCAGCTCCTGATGCGGATGGACGTACTGGATGCAATTAGGAATGAAGATAGAGGAGCAGCTGGCCATGAATGCTGTCCTGGAGTCAAGGGACATGGAGTTGTCCCTACCTTGAGTCTGAATCTACCATGTTTTGCCCCTGAGGGAGTGTAGTTTACACCCTGATTTTACATTTCCCTTTCCAGCTTCTCACCAAATCTGGCATCCAATATCAACTGCCTTTGGAAACAGGATTTGAGACACCAGAGATGCTGCTCGTATATTAAGGCTAGGTTGGATGGGACGTGGAGCAACCTGCTCTAGTGGAACACATCCCTGCCCATGGCAGGGAGTTGGAACTGGATGCGCTTTAAGGTCCCTTCCAACCCCAACCAGTCTGGGATTTTATGATTTCTGATTATAATTCCTATCTATAGGAAGGCTCATGGCTCATCTGGTTGCAGTCCCTGGATTCAATGACAGTCCTGCGTTTTGGGGTTTTTTTCACTCCATCTTGGAACTAGGTTGATAAGGGAAGTGTGTGACTTTGCCCAGGGGTGCTCCATGAGTTCCTGGGCTCAGCTGCAATACAGTGGCAGTAGGCTGCTGGCTCCTCACTGCGTGTTTTCTCTATGGATTACATCTTCCCCTTGTTTTCTCCTCAGTGCCAAATGCCTGGGACCGGTACTAGCACTTCACCATTGCAACAGGAATAGCTGCATCCCTGTGGGCTAATAGAAGCACAATGGTCAACATGGTTTAGGATATATAATCAGTTTTGTAGGAAAAGGCAGAATCCTTCACAAGACCCAAGTGGCAAAATTGGAAAGGCCAGGTAAACTTCAGGGTAAAGAAGCCCCTCTCTAGGCCTGACATGGAGGGAGCAAACATCAAACAAAGCACAAGGTAGAGACTGTTGTTCAAAGGTAAACCAAACCATTTAATTCCATTAAAAATGTGAAACACTGACCAAGAAATCTCAGTGACCTCTTGTTCACATCCTGTTCTTGGCTTTACATTTGCTGCAGCTATGTAGAATATGCAGGACTAATTGCATCCCACAGAGGAAGACAAATAAGACATGTTCAGATAGCTGGTCTATTGAAAATGTATTATCTCAGGAGGGAACAGGGGGCACGTGGCTAACTGAGCCATTGGTGGTCTGAGCAACCAGACCATCAGCAGTTCCCCAGAAAAACCAGCCCAAAGTCCATTTCCCTTTGCAGCCCCACTCATGCTGCAGCTCTCACCCTTCTCTTTCTCTCAAAACCCACCATAACCCCAGGGTGAGCTTTCTGTAAGGTCCCCACTCATATTCACTGTGGCTGCTGTAAGGACATCCACCCCTTTCTCTCAGTATGTATAGTACTAAGGAGATTTCTTACCAGCCACATTGAGCTCTGACATCTCTTTAGGTGTACATGACAAGAGTCAGCCACTGGAAAAAGAAGAAAAGGTGCATTTAAATAGTGATGTTAAGCTAAGTATTCAAACATGTGTCTTGGTACCTCCAGGCTCTGAGTCAATGACTACAGTTCTTTTGTCCCGCACAGGATAGATAAGGGGTTTTAGAACTGCCTTTCCCCCTTATTACAATTCAGACCCAGACACACTTTCCGTATGTTGCTTTCCATGATAAATTATTGCAGCATCTGCAGCAGGAACAATTGCTGGGAGAGGCTGGCACCTGCGTGATTGCAAGTGGAAGGGATAGCAGGGTTTGGGAATGTGGTTATCCTACAGATCATAACACAGGTTCAGGGCTTCTGCTTGAGAAATGCTCAGCTTTTGGTGCAAACCAGATTTAATGAACTCTGGGACACTGAACTAAGCACGGAATGCAAACAGGAGCCAGCAAGATTGTAAAAGGATTTTGTGAAAGATCTTTTTAAACACTGTGCTGTCAAATAACAGTCCCCAGACTGATAAAATGCAGCACTCAGGCATATCACTATGGAGCACAGCAGGATTTTTGCTTCAGACTAGCTGATAAAAAGCTTGATGGATCCCCATTCCGCTACCTATCCTTCAGGCTGCGCTTGCAAGACAAACAGCAGCAGCAAGCATTTATCTGCTATTTCCTTCTCAAAACCAAGACGTTTTGCAACTCAGAATTAACAGATGGGGCAGTAAGAAATGAGGGCATGGATTTCTTTTTGTCACTTCCTCAAAGTCACTTTGAGCAATGTCTCCAACAATGAGAGTCTGCGGCAGTAAGGGAAGACTCTGCTTCAGACATGGATGGCCACCACTGAGCTGTGCTCACCCTAGCGAGGCTGCATGACTGGGAAATACCTCCCACCCATGAAGCACATCCAGCCAGGCAACAACACTGTTGGTGTCAGAGGCAAACCCCCCAGTACCATACATCATGCATCATCTTTAACTAACATACACCATGGGCCCACTTTCAGACCTGGAGAGAAGGAAAGGAGCACTCTTACCTCTGTTGCCGTCATCAAAATCTGTGATCCGCCCTCTGCTAAGTTTTGAAATGCATCTACAGTTGGAACAAAGAAAATCTCACTTCATGAGGAGAAAACAAGAATGCAGTGCAGACATAAGGCTGTGGCAGCTGAGGAGCAGGGCTGCGATCCCTGTGCTGGGATGCTCTGCCTTGGTTAAGGGGTCCACTCACACTGCTCTGCCTCTGCACATCTCTGTGCTGGGTACCCCCTTTTTCTTGGCCCTGGGATCACAGGCTGGAGAGGCATCTCAATTGCAGGGCCACAATGCAAGATGAGTATAGGGATAGGGAGTGCTCAATGTGACTGCTTTCATCTCCTCCTGCAATTTGTTCCAATTGCACCTCCTGCCCGAAGACTGACAAGAGAACAGTGAACTAATGAAACACATCTTCCCACAGGGAAACTTTCTGTTGGTCCTTTCCCATCCTCCCTGGCAGTGAGTGATCACAGTGTGTTCTAAAGAAACCGATTCTCTTGAAGTCATTAGTATGCCTTGAGAGTTTTTTTCCAGGGAATATAAATGCAGATGCTGCTGTTACTCAGCTCCAGTTGGAAATTAACATTGCTGAAAGTTTTCTGACAGAACACTTTGCCATCAGGAAATATAAATCCATACAAATATTGATATTCTATGTGCACATTCATATTGCAATTGGTCTAGGAGAAACGTTTAAATCCAAGTGTTTGGATAAAGTCAAAACATAGAATTTTGAGTTCTGTTTATTTATTTTGAAATCACTTTTCTCCTAGAAACGCGCTGTTATAAACAGTAATAAAAACTTGGAACAAATTTCACCCTGTCTATCCTTGAATGACACGTTCCTCCAGGAGCCTTTTCCCCCACCCTGAATGGAAAAGGCATTGTAAGACCATGGATGTTTTGAAACCTGCCTGGCTTTAGACAGAAGTGCAAGGCTGTTGGGTGAGTGTAGCAACAGGGCATAGGGGTGCACTGCCCATTTGGCCCTTAGGAGACAACCAGAGCTACTAGCACGAGGAAGCACATCCAGCCTACAGTGCTTTGAAGAAAGCCATAGAACAAGGAAACCCCATGTTGCACCCAGCACCTTGGCAAGGTTGCATTTGCAGGGCTGGGCTTGCACCTAACAGTCTTCCTAGGAACAAATGACAGGGCTGAAGTTATCTCCTCTGGGTAGAGGTAAGTGCCCCTTTACTGCTTCATTAACTCCCATTAAATACAGTTTGCAAAGAAGCTGCTGCTTTTGCTTTGGGTCTTATCCCTGGCTGTCTTGAAAGGATAAGCAATGAGTTAATGGAACAGATTTTATCTTTTCTGCTGCATTCACACCATCATAAAGGTGAACTGCCTTTTATTTCCACGTGGCACTCCGATCCTCTCCTGTAGTGATCTTATTCACAGTGATTTGAAAAGTTTGAGAAATATATTCCCCATTAAACCCTCTGTCAAGTGATAACTGCAAGAGTTGAGGGCGTTTTATGATCCTCATTACAGACAGCAATGAAACTTTCAGAGAGTCCTTTCCACATGGATGTAAAGAAGTTGTCTTTACGTTGGCACATTAGTAAGTTGCAAGAGGACCTTTTTGAAGAGAAAAAAAAACAACCATGGAGGTAATTTAGGCACAAAAAATTTCATCTACAGCAAAAGACATGTAAAATCACAGGGAAATTTCTGTTTACAAGTTATCTTTCTTTTAATGAAAGCATTAACATCAGGACACAGTCTGGCTTTATGAGCTGCACTCCCTTGAAATGGGGTTTTAGGCAGTGTCATCTGGGCGGATCCACTGACCACTACTGGCCCATCAAACATCAGTGGTAAAAACACATGGGAAATAATGAACACTCATTTCCATGCGCTGTCGAAACCCAGCTTGTTCCAAAGATGAACTAAATTGCTGCAGCAATGTTCTAGCACGTGGGTCACAACTGCTGGGTTTGTTTAACTACCAGCATTTCCAGTCAAAATGCTTATTATTAGAGTAGTAAAAATTATGCTTTCCTAAAAGAGAATTCCATTTACTTTCAGGCAAAGGCTTATTTACAGACATTCCCTCCTTGCAACTGCCAGACAATGGCTGCACACAACACAGGCATGGGGGGGTTATCCACTGAGAAGGACCTCAGACCTCCTCCTTGCCAAAATCTGAGAGAGTTTTGCATAAGTTGGTGAGGAAAACATCTCTCCAACTAAAAGGGGAAAAAAGTATGTAAAAGCACCTCCTTTGCTGTGATTTAGACTTCTCTGATTTTTAACCACAAAAAGCCTTCCATCTGAGATGTGCTGCCTTGTTCCCCTCCACTGGGCATGAATGCATGCACTCTCGCCTCAGTGGTACCAGCATCGCTCCACATCATCCCGCAGAGAGCTCTGCTGTGGACCAGGACGCTCAAGCTTGTGTGGAAGGGCACCAGCACAAGGACACAGGTTGGTTTCAGAAAATGAGTCTTAGTGCACAGGGGCTCTAAGGACAGGCCTGCAGAGGCCAGGTTAATTCACACAGCAAAAATGGATTGGCAGCTGAGGCAGCTCTGGGTATACATTAACATCACAGGGCAGCGTGGTGCTGCTGCAGCCCACAGGCAGTCTGATGAACTCTGATGGGAAACTGGGGGGTAACTTTCCTTCTGGCTCTTTTCAGTGAGAGCATCACTGTATTCCCAGCTGCTTTCTCCCAGCACTAAACCACTCTCTACCAGCCAGCTGCTCCTGTGGGAAGGAGGCAAATCTGGCTTCTGGCAAACAGGCTGCTCAAAGGGCTGCCTGGACCGTGCCTGGCCTTTGGGGGCAGGTTTGCTATTTCCAAGCTATGTGTTGGACACGCATTTTCACATCCAGCACTGTGTCCCTTGCCTCCTGCCTCTGCTCTCAGTGTGCCGTTGCAAGCTCCCCCGCTGCCACAGCCCCTGCCCTATCCCAAGCCCCAGCGCTGAGACTCACAGGTCATGGTTTCAAGGCGCAGCATGCAGCACACGAAGTCAGAGAAGCCGATTCTCCTGGCAGCATCGCCGTACCGCAAGGTCATCAGGCGCAGGAGCTGATCATCAGCAGCCAGACCTGTGGAGGGAAGAGGAATGACAGCACTGTGAGATGATGGACCAGCTCTGATGGCCTTGGGCACCCTGCAGATAAACTGGGCCCTCCATCAGACCCCACCTTGTCATGTTAGGTCTCTGCATCCTTGGAAACAGCAGTTTGCCTTTCCCCAGGTTTGTGCAAAGGAGTTGGGGTACAGTGATGGCAAATCAGAGTTCTTCCAGTGATTAGAACTGTGGCTTCAGTCAGCAAGCAGGAAACACTGAGCTAAATAATCTAGTGTTACCTTGCTTTGCCTTTTTAGCTTTTATTTTCTATAAGAAAGGGTGATATTCTTTGGCTTACAACTGTTAAAGTCTGGCGTAGCATTTACAATACCACTGCTGCTTTCTGCTAAACAGGGAGATGCTACATACTCGTGCTATTATGCGGTGCAGCATGCCTGGGATTCTTAATTTTTACATTTTCTCTTCTATTAGGAAATGGTGAAGGGTGCATTTCCTTTTTATTAGCTGATTATTCAGAATTTGTGTCACAGTCTGTTTGGATGGAAATTGGTATTCAATTGAATGAACAAAGATTGCCTTTTAGAACGATTCTTTTATTAGGTAAATAAAACTACCCTAAATGTGCTGGCTATATAAAAGGAACGATTTAAATGTATTTTGCACTAAAAGCTGATTTGCTAAACAAAAGAGAAATTTTCTGCAGAGAGCTGGACCGATAGCTTTGGTTTAATGCGTTCTCCGAGACTTCAGACAAGTCTCATTTGTCCCTGGTTTTCAGTGGCTCAGCTAGACAAGAAGTAGCTTTCCTCATTTTTCAACCAGCTCTAAACTTTGAAATTTTAAATGCACTCCTTATGGAGTTAAATCAGTTAAACAAGCAGAAAAGAAGGACATTGTTTCTCCACATCTACGTAGGGGGAGATACACCCATGGAGGTGGGTTAGTACGTCAACCAAATCTGGTTGCATGAGCCTAGCTGGAGAAGGTCTCCAGCAGGAAGCAGACAAACAATGCTGGATATTTAAATAAATAAAATACATTTGGGCTTAAGCCACATTCCAAGTAAGAGAACCCTGATTTTAATTTTTTTTTCCCCTAGGAGATAAATCCAGTAATTAAAAATCTAATTAATGACATTTCTTCTTTGATGCTGGTTTTAAACTGCTGCCAAGAGCCACTGTAGTAGTGAGCAGTGAGTTCTATCTATCTCAGTTTTAACCTTTGGGAGGCAGTGGGAATTCAACCGAGCTCCCTCTGGAGAGCAGATTCCAGCAAGCATTTCCGTGCTGCTTACAAGATGTTGTAACAATGTCTTACACTAGTAAAACACCAACAATTTGGCACGGGCAGTGGGATATGCTCTGAAAACTGCTCACCTGGCAATGTCTCTCAATTACCTTCATCAGCAAGACCGAGGTGTCAGTCCTCTCTGTCCCCAAGATGGTTCAGTTATGTGTTACTGCTTGCTTGTGAGGTTACTCCCCACACCTTTTGCCTCCTGGATCCCTTACTCTGGTTTTAGTCAGACTTTAAAACACAGACCTTAAAACACATGTTTCCCTTTCTGTTTTTATTATTACTATTCTGATGCATTTAATATTGCCAATGGGCTGTTTCTAAATACATGTCAGTGCAGCATTGCTGTTAATGCAGCAAGACTGCTTTATCCTGCCAGAAAACCCGACCCATCATTGTTAAGCTCTGAAGCATTAGGACAACAGTGACAATTAGGCACACTCCTCATTGCTCTGCTAGGGAAAGCACTGAGCACATCGGGGACAGCTGGCTAGAAGCTGTATTTAAATACATTAGTGACAATCCCAGAGGTAGCACCACACACTTTCTGGGGCCGTCCACTCCTTCCTGCTTACAAGCCAGGGCTGGGGTCATCCTAGTGCAAAGCCAGATCCAAATGCAGCTGTCTGGCTGAGAAGGTGGCAAGAATAAGCTTTAATTTTCTTTTTTCCCCTACTTAGAACCGCTTATAGCCTGACATGTATTGAGTTTGTCATTTAGCAGTGCCTTTTTATCCCTTCAAATACAGCTTTGGTTGCCAGGACTCCTCAATGTACAATTTTCCTCCCAGTTTTACACTTTAGCACCTTTCTCACAGAATGGACCTGGCAGCTTCTCCTCTGACATTTGGCACATCAGTGCTGTGCTCCTCGGGGGCAGAAGATGCTAAAGCTCTTCAACCTCTCAGCAGCAAAAAAAAGTTACATATACATACCCTGTGCTGATGGCTTCTATGGATAGCAATTCTGCACTGGGTTCTTCCTGGGGACAGCACCCCGCTCCAAGCTCCAGGAAGCCAAATGGGAGCTTCTCTACTGTACAGTTATTAGAGGACTGGTGGCTCAGAGCTGTATTTCACACACAGTCTCTGAAGAGATGACCCAGCTAAAACGTTTTGCTCATATACTTCACTCGAATCCTGTGTTCAGCTTTGGGACCCACACAAGAAACCCATTGAGGTGCTGGAGCAGGGCCAGAGAAAGGCAACGGAGCTGGTGCAGGGCCTGGAGCACAAGTGTGATGGGGAACGGCTGAGGGACCTGGGGGGGGTTAGTCTGGAGAAGAAAAGGATCAGGAGGGAGATGATCACTCTACAACTGCCTGACAGGAGGATGGAGCCAGGAGGGGGCTGGTCTCTGCTCCCAAGGAACAAGGGACGGGACAAGAGGAAACAGCCTCAAGCTGCACCAGGGGAGGTTTAGACAGATATTAAGAAGAATTCCTTCCCCAAAGGGTGCTCAGGCATTGGAACAGGCTGCGCAGGGCAGTGCTGGAGTCACCATCCCAGGAAGTGTTCCCAAACCATGTAGACGAGGCCCTCAGTGACATGGGTTAGTGGTGGCCTTGGCAGTGCTGGGGAACAGTTGGACTGGATGACGTTAAAGGTCTTTACCAACCTGGTTGATTCTGTGATTGTGTTTGGAGCGCTCCCATGCAGTCACTGCAAGTTTCAGCATTCACATAGCCAACAGAGGTCAGTGCAAACTAAATAACTGCCTGTCACTGTGGCTTTCCCTTACAGACTTAAGTCACTGCCGTGGAGAGAAACGGCAGGAACTGGGGCAAGTGCCGAGCATCGACTCTTCCTTGCTCCTTTCTTCTGCTGGATGTTCTGTCTGTGGCCTAGAGAGACTATAGATAAGCTGTCTGCAGGCTCTGGTCAGTGCTGTCCTTCTCTGCATCCCTGCTGCCTCACCAGCTGCATTGCTAAGGGTTTCTCCCTGAAAAGAGTTTCACTGCCCTACAACAATGCAACTCTAGAGCAGAGCTGCGATTCAACTGGCACCTCTGTGCAATCCAAACCACTTTCTTCCTGAAGCTCTTTTTTCTTTCCTTGCTCTTTTTCACCCTTTCCCTCACTGCAACAGGGACAAGAAAGGGAGTTGCTCAGCACCTATGGACATACCTGCTGCCTGTACTGCACTCTTCAGTTCAGATATATCCAGAAATCCAGACTGATTTCTGTCTTCCCTGCTGAAGATAGCCTAAAAAAATCCAGAAAAGGGCACATTTCAAGCCCGTATCAACATCCCCCAAATTTACAACTGCACTCAATTACACAGAATGCTTTCTCCCCTTAATAAATAGGCTGCAAGGAAGTTCAACAGGTGAGATGGGGTGACGACCACAAGGGAGACCCATTTCCAGAAGGCTCAGATGGTATGCTACTGCGCAAGAAATCCCACAGTTTTGGGTGTGTGGAAGCCTTTTTGCTGACTCCCCCTGGTTAATGTGTGCAGGCAGCAATGGAAATACTCACACTTTGACTGACAAAAAGACATTGTCTGTAACACATCAAATAAACCAGGAGTCCCTGGGTCCCGGAATGGTGTGGGGTCATTTTTCCCAACACAGCATTGAAACCCCATAAGCCACACTTGAGGCTCTGTCAGGAGGAAAAGCACCATTGCTAGAAAGGGAACTGGCGCCCCATGTCCTAGGTGGTCTAAGGCCATCTCAGGAGGCACGAAACAAAGCAGAGGCCACCCAACCCTGATCAACCCTAGAAAGCAAACTAGCGTCCTCACTGCTTCTAGACCTAATGCCTATCCTGGAGCAGACATTTCTCCCAAACTTTCATCGGATCCCACAGGTTTCCACTACAAACTGCAGCAATGAGGAAATGACAGTTTTCAGATTACTCCGTTCAAGAACTCATTTCAGCTTGGAAAGCCTTTAAAAACATTGCCGGTGGTGGCACAAAGCTTTCCATCAAACTCTGAGCCTAATTGGTCTTCCTACCTTTTCCCACTTTTCCCTCAATGTTCCCTGCAATAGAAAAGCTTCGGCTGCTCGTTTGGAGCACTTTACACACACCACTGCTTCCTAAGCCCTAAACCTTTGAACGAGAACAAATCTGACCCCCTAAGCAAGCAACATTTTTCCCCCCACTGCTTTGATCTCACCAAGCATCTGCACCCTGCTGATGAAAAGCCCAGGAGTGCAGTATGAGCAAAGAGAGCAGCCCCCATGTACCGTGTACTTAGTGAGACTTCGCCAGAGGCTCCCGAACTCCTGCAGTGTGAGTCGGCCGTTCGAGCTGAGCTGTGCATTTAGTTAAGTATTGAGCAGTTAATGAGAGCTAGACCTGGCTGTCTTTGTTCCCAAGGATGCTGCCTTCACATAAAGACAGACAAAAGGTGCAGTCTCTTCTGTCTGTCACTTTATGTTGAGAAAGCCAAGAGCTTTTCTGCTCTTAGTCATGCTCAGAGTTAAATTCACCTGCTTGGCACAATGTACAGCTGCTCACACCTGTGCTCACAAGCAACAAAAGGTTTCTATTTATACAGCACCTTTAACCACAAGGGAACCTACAGTGATCACTTCAGTTGACATTTAGCCACTGAGCACAGAGGTCCATGTGGATGAACAAGACCCCGTGCTCGAGGCAATGTGTGCATGTTGCCTTGCCTCTGTACGCGAAGCAGCATAGTATTAGCTCCAGGTGGATCCTCCTGGAGGAACAGGGACTGAAGGAGCCAAGAGCACAATGAGCCGATTCCGATTGCTGTTGTCAAGAAGGCACCAGCAGCCTTTGAGCCATGCATATACCACATGTGAGGAAACACTTCCCCACCATGAGCTGCAGGAGCCCAGGGTGCCAGTAGACATCCCTTGGGGGTGCTTGAAGGACTATGTCAGTGGACCTGCTCCCCTCCACACACCATCTAGGAGTCCTGGGCAGATGTGCGCCTCACCTAATGCAGCTGGGATGGTGAAAGGTCCCTGAAAGCAAAACTCATCACCAGTGAAATATAAGCAGATAAGTGCCACTGCTATAAAACCAGAGTGAGCAAAGCTGATCCTGTCTTTGCAGGTCGGGATAGGTCACACTGTACATGGGTAATATGCTGCCCAGAGAATGAAAATCCATCTTGAATTAAAGCAGAGCAGTAGCTTTGTCAGTTCTTTGCATCTGCCATGCATTCACAGTGCCCACTTAACCCAGGAGGGGCTCTGGAAAAGGGGGAAAAGTCTCTTTCACTGGCTAGATGCAGAAAGCTGTAAATAGAGAGGGACCTCTAGTCATTTTTATTCATTCCATGGCAGTTGGCAAAGGTCTGAATGTGTCTCAAAGTTATTTCAAGAGACAATGAGCAAGCAAGAGGGAAGAATTCATGTGTTCATCAAGGAGCTCTCTTGCTCTACAATGGCCAGCAGAGTATTTCCAGTTGCTGTGGTTTTGGCTGGGATAGAGTCAATTTTCTTATGAGTAACTCGTACAGTGCTGTTTTGGACTTAGTGTGACAATATTGATAATACCCTGATCTTCTAGCTGTTGCTAAGTAGTGCTTACCCTAAATCAAGGGCTTTTCAGTCTCATGCTCTGCCACTGAGGAGGGGCACAAGCAGCCAGGAGAGAGCACAGCACAACCAGTACAGCTGACCTGAACTAGCCCAAGGGATATTCCATACCATAGTGCATCATGCTCAGTATAGAGACTGAGGGTGCTGGCTAGGAGCCATTGATATCTGTTCAGGGATGGGCTGATGACTGGTCAGCATGTGGTGAGCAATTATATTGTGAATCACTTGCATTTGCTGAATTTTATTCCTCCTTTCTTTCCTATTATTATTATTATTATTATATTTCACCTCATTTCAATTATTAAACTATTCCTTCACAGGTTTTACCTCCTTCCAGTTCTCCTCCCCATCCCACCTAGGGCAAGATGGGAGCACATAGTGAGAGAGTGGCTGCATAGTGTTTAGTCACCAGCTGGCCTTAAACCATAACACCAGTGTTGTCTTGTTAATGATAACAAAACTGTGTGATCTATCTAAATGGGGAAGATACACTGGAAAAGATGAATGGCCTGCCAAAAGATGATTTGGCAGTGACAGTGCTTCTCCTCCTAACACCAGCCCTGCTGGCAGTGATAGCAGCCTGCTCAAGCTACCATCCCAAGCCACTGTGGTTGCAACCATGAGGGAAGAGCTGAGCTATGCCTGAGCTCTGTGCTGTCTCCTCACCTCAGGCTCTGCACCCAGTGGTGAAGCTTAGCTGAGCCAGGGGAAAATGAGAGCAAAGATTTAGCTGGTAGCAGAAGGTTGACCCTCACCTTTAGGAGACACACCAAAGCCATGGCAAAGTCCTGCATAGACCCTGGGGCAGTTATTTATTGAGGACCGTGTCTAATATTTACTTGCAGGTTCTCACACTGGGATGCTCAGCTCAGCCATAACTCAAGGCAAGGATGGGCAGCACTAGGGAAGTTTATTGCTTCTGCAGAAAGGATACATCCATCAGAGCTAAAATGCCTCTGCATGAATCGAAGCTGAATCTTCCTCCCAGGCTGGTCATTTCATCTGTAAGGATTGACAAAACAGAGGAATTAGAGAGAGCAAGGAGAGTGGCAGAGGCATCAGCTCACCATTTGGAGGGAAAGAGGACACCAAGCTGAAAGCTCACATAGCTAAAAAGCCCCAGACCTGGCTCAAACAGCAACCATGGCTATGTGCCAGGCTGAGGTCTATGGAGGGAGCTGGACATTCCTCAGATACCTCTACTGCTCCCTTCCCTAAGGACAAGTGCCCTCTTTGGGCTCACAGGAAGCTAACTGCACATTCTCTGCCTACCTTTCTGCCCTAATGGTTACCCTTCCCTCTTTAAATAAGAATAGGGAAAATGACAGTGACAAGAAAAGCCATTTGTGCAGAATTATCGACTCCTAAGAGCGCTTTGAACCTTGTGCTTGACTCAGTAGGTTTGAGCCCTCCAGCTGTGCTTGTCTCATGCTATTTTCCAGGTGGACAGATGAGGAAGGCTGGGATATGCTGGAAGCCAGCTTGAGGCCTCTGCAGAGGAGCGATGCAGGCTGGGTCTGAACTGGGAGAAACTGGCTGACAGTGAGGGGAGTGGAAGGCACAGCTCCCTGGGGCACTCACTGGTGCAGCCCAGCCAGGGAATGAGTTCCAGCTGCAATTGGTGGGGCACAGAGCAGGAAGGGATGCTCATGGAAACTGCAGGGACTTCCAGAAGGACAGCAGGGGGTGGGATAGGTCTGCAAAGCAGAAGGAACCTTGGTGGAGGCAATTCTCATTCTTCAGGATCCAAGAGTGCAGTAAGCCACACTGAGGACTTTTCAGGTGCATCAGGACACCATTAAATCCTCTAATTTACACTAGACTAAGGATAGGGAAGCACCAAAGGCATTAGCTGGGGTTTAAGAGCATCAGGATCACCTTGCAGGATCACTTCATTAAGGAGTTCTTGCAGCTGCGAGGCATCGATTTCTGAGCCCTAAAGTAGAATAAATGCAAACAGAGGTCTGTGAGCATAGAGTCTTGCCCTGAGTCACTTTAGCCCAAAACTTCTTTACTCATGCACTGTGGGCACCAAGAAGGACCTCTGCTTATATCAGAGGAGCAGCAGCACCTTCTCGGGGGTGTAATAGCTCTCCACACTGCTGGGCCACTCTTTGTCCTTCCTCACAAGAGTCTGCAGGGCAGTTACAGGCATTCCCATCACCACAGGGCATTTTCAGCAGCGAGGGAAAGTGAACACTTGCTGATTTCATCAGCCCCTAGCTGGGGAGTTATCACAGAATCATGGAACAGTTTGGGTTAGAAGGGACCTTAAAGCTCATCCAGTTCCAACCCCCTGCCATGGGCAGGGACACCTTCCACTAGACCAGGCTGCTGATGGGCAGGCCCAGTGGACTGGGATGGACAAGCAGACTGAGAGCTTCCCTCTGAGCTACCCATTGGGGAACCTTTGTACCTCCCACCTTATACACCGCTGGGGCACTCAGCAAGGTGTTCGTTTTCACCTTCATGCATTGATACAACTATTAACTGCAGGTCCACTGTGCAAAGACTTTCAGCAGTGATGGTCTTTTTCCTCTTCACTAAGTCAAGGAGTTCTTTATAACTGTTTATTAAACCATTAAAAGCATCTCCTGTGAACACAGAGTTTGGCTCTGAAAGAGCAGGAATCAACTACTCAAACACTGTCTGACTGGTTTCCAAATGCCATGAAGGCAAATGGAAAACGATGCTGATGGAGGGGGGGGGGGGGGAAACACCCAAGGCTTTCTAATTGCTTTCAGTAAATAAACAAACCAAAGCCAAAAAAGTACACAGGCAAGCCCATCACCAGCACAACCACAGATCTCCAATCCTCCACTGATAGATGGGGCTATCCAGCCTATCCCAGCTGAATGTCTCATTTTTCTGGGGTTTTTGGCAGGCCAATCAATCTGTTTTCAAGGTATTCGCTTGAGGATGGAGCTATATTTCCCCCAAAAAACACTTTTCTAAATGGATTCGTACCAACATCATAGATCAGTTTTTCTTTTTGCAACTCCACATCCTTATTAATTTTTATTTTTCAGCAAGATATTATAGGTAGGATACCTGCTTAGCGTATCGTAGGAAGATAGGCTTATAGGAACTGTCCTGGTTTTGTCTTGGTAGATCCTGGATCCAAGATAAAGCACACAGATAAACAGTTCAGTTCCAAACCATCTGGAAGCAGGAGTCTGCAGATCCAATCAGCACTTCAGAGAGGGCAGGGAATGCGAAGTACAGGCTACAGTTTTAACACCCCAAAAGTAAAGTGGACTGGGAATGAGGAACAGCTACTGCAATGAAAGATGCATAGTTTGGATGTTATCACTTAGTACAACCAGGAAGGAGCAGCTCAGGGCCTGAGGAAGAGAACAGAATACATCCAGGGTGGAATTCAGCAAGTCAAACATGAGAATAGATGTACAAAGCCTAATCCTTATTGGTAACCCTCAGTTGAAAACATTAGCTTTTAGGTGTGCAAAGATTCATGTGAACCGAGAAAAACAGAGCAGGAGTTGACTTCTGTTTTCTCTTGTACTTTCTAAACCCCAAGCAGGCTTGACTGTACCTGAGCAATTGCAATTCAATGATGAAGTCATTTTTTCCAGCCCTCTGGTGAGAATCCACCAGGCACTAAGGGGAACAATCCTTGACATTATGAAGTTTCCCTCAAAAATCTAAGCCTAAATCCCAATGCCTTCATCTCTGTGCTAGATAATTCACACCAGTGAAGCCCAGACCCCTGAACAGAGCAAAAAGTGCTGGTACCATAACTCATCAAAGTCAAAACTCTGGCTAACGACAACAGCTGAGTAAACCGACAGCTTGTCAGTGAAAAGAGATAATAAGCCACCATTTACACTACACCTCTAATGGAGCTTAATTGCAGGCTGGAAAATGAATCACAAGGAAAGGGCTCTGTTTTCTGTTCTCCTGAAGCAGTTTTACACCTTTGGCTTCAAAGACCTGCACTGAGTTTGCACTGCTATAAATAACAGCCTCTCAGCAGCAGGGTTTTGTAAGCAGCTGATGAGGCAGCAGCATCTGGACTAGCTCTGGCAGTATGCACAGTTCACTGTGAGGAGGTCCAGATGGTAGCTGGGCTAGAGAGGCTGTAATGTGGGTCGAACTAGAGGTGTAACCACGTTTTAAGTGTTATCTCCCTTATATCCTTGAAGATATCCTGATGAAAATTAGAAGAGATCTTCTTTGGGCCTCACCCCTATGGACTCCTGTGCTTGATATGGTGCAAGCACTTAAATGAAGCTATTCATTTAGGCATATAGGACCCTCTTGTGGTCTTATCTATGAGCTACCCCCTATGGGGAAGTCATGTGTGACCCTGCTGTCAGGTGTGAAGTCTTTTTAAAAGAGGTCAGACTCAAGCTGTGACTTTCTCATCAGTTTCCCCCTCTCTCCTCCTTAGAGATGTACTCATTTACAGACATTGCAAGAGTTTACTACCTCTGAAGTGCTCTCCCCCTGCTATATTTGGTTGGTCAAAGTATTTAATGTGGCAAAATGGAAAGGACAGACAGACAAGCTGACAGAGGGACTGTATAAGATTTGTTTCCTTAAAACAATCAAGCTCTGAAAGAGACCTATGTGAAGAGAGGCTTCCTTGTCGCTCCTGTCTCTCCAGAGACCTCAGGCTGGCCACCTGGTTGTAGAGTGCCAGGGTTGAACTCTTGGACAGGTACTGGGTGGTGAAAGGAGAAAAGAGCAGAGTGGTATCTGGTATGTGGAGAAGGAAGAAGAGGAGTCAGTAGAGGTGGCTACCAAATGGTCAGTTCTCTGGGAACCATTCACCACCACCGGTATCCACATCAGTTTTCACAGACTCTTACCATTGGTGGCACTGGGCTGGGTGGGGAGTTTGAGCTCCTGGAAAAGAGTTACAAGAGTCAAACTGGGGGAGAACAGGCCTTTTCAGAGCATCTCTTTGCAGATATGGCAGAAGGCAGGCACTAAGAGTGCCTGCAGCCCTACAAGATGCTCAGCACCCACACCACCCAGCTGGTCCCAGTTCAGTCAAGCCTGTTGCACCAGTCCTGGGTCTCTCTGTGCAAGCAGACATGAGTCTCTAGCTGCTGGGGAGCATGGCACCAGCAGCAGAGAATAGGTACCTTCTCTCACTTTGAGCATGCCAGCACTAATCTCACCGCACAGAAGACAGGGCTGCCCCACCTTGAGCCACATAAAACATTCACCCGCTTTCTCTTTGCCTAGTTTAAGAATCAGGAATAAAAATAGCATCTGGGCTATTAAAAGACAACATCTTTTTAAAAGGCAGCATCTTTTAAATGCCTGCAGGCTGCCTGCAATTCAGCTGAGGTCACCATTCCTTCCGAGACTCAGTAGCAGTATTCAGAACTGGAGTTTTGCATTTGGTAGAGAAATCAGGCAAGATGCATGCTATTTCAATCACATCTGTGCTATTCTATAGAAGAGCTGCAGACCCACAAAAATGGGATCCCAATGCTTGGCCTAGCTCAGCAAGGTCTCTGAGGGTCAGAGGCTCTCCTAGAAAGAGAGCCTGAGACTGAGGTATCTTGTGCATTACTCGTCATGCTGAAGGCAGTCCAGCCAGGAGCACAGGCGTCTTCTGTTTGTTTTCCATAACCAAGGAGTTGCCTTAGTTGGTTCAGAGCCAGGTGACAAAGCCTAGAGAGCAATCTCATTATTATGATATGGTTAAGAGCTGCAATCACCTCCATTATAAAGCTTGCTAAAGGAAAGCCACTGTACATCTGATTCTTGAGGGTCATTTGGTAAGGCTGAACACCAGGGCTTGCTCTTCACACAAAGCACACCCTCCTATTTACATGAAAACATGGTAACAGCTGCCTTTGCATGAATTAAGTCACCATTTTCCCCACTAAACTCATCTTCAAGGCCCTTTTCATACCCACATGGAGCCCTGCCAGCCTGGCTATGAGATGGCTGGGTGAAAGGATCAGGGCCTTTCACTGCTCTTTGTTTCTCTGGATCCCACTTTGAGCAGTATGGGACCTGATCCATCAGGCAGCATAACATAAGAAACTACATAACAGTTGTTAAGAAAAACAAGCTCACATTCCTCCTTTCAGTAGGGAGAGATTTCCCCACAGCTGGAGGGGGATATCTCACAACCATAGCTTGCTTGTGTGGCTCCTTGTACTAAAGCTGATACCCTTGGTGGCTGCCGATGAGCTATTGTCCTGTTCTGCAGAGACCACCCCTAAGCATCCGACTATATGTCTGATCCCCCTCAACATGGTGCTTAACACTCAGCTGTGTCTTCCCAGCACACTTCTAAAGTATATTAAAAGTAAATTGCCACATTAGTTATCTTGACATTAAATTGTTAAATCCAGGCAGACTGTAAGTCTGGGGTCTTTAAGGAGTACTTCTCGTCTTACTCATTGTACTCGTGATTCTTCATGAAGATTCTTAAAAGGAATTCAAATTCTTGGTCCTCCATTGCAGCAGGAACAACAGCGTAGGTTCCTGGGCTCAAGATAAAGTAGGTGGTCACGTCTCGAGTCAGGGCAAAAGTCTGTTTCAGAACTTTGGAGTTCTCCTGAAAGAAAAATGCAAGAGGCTATCTCCCCCCAGTGTCAGCAACCGAAGTAAATCAGCAACTTGCACCCACAGCAGCCTCACATTCCCCCACAGCTCTCTAAATACACATCCATCTAACATGCCTTAACCTCCGCAGTGACATGAAAAGCCCATCCAGGTGACACACTTCGTTCAAGGACACATCAAAAATGAACAAGGGTGGAAGAACTGAAAGAACCAGAAGGCAGAATGAATGTATGTGGATTTGAAGAGAACTTGGATTAACATTGAGCAGAATGGAGCTCATGAAGGACTCAAGGATGAATACTCTTACTAAAACTAGCCCTGAGTTCTAGTGTGACTCAGAAAGCTCACTAAGCATCGCACCCAGATGACAACGCTTCAAGAATCACAACCCAAACCTTCCAGCAAGTGTCACACAAAACCAGAATATTCTGATCTTCTGTTATTCCAGTATTTTTGCTGAGATGAAACAAATATAATGCAGCAGCTATTACTATGATGACACGTTAAGATAGCATAATAAAAACCCCTTCCTAAACGTACTCCCCAAAATACATCAGCATGTATAAATTCCATTTAGAATGGTTATACAGCGTGGCAGAGTTATTTATGAGCCATGCCTTTGGGAGACAATAACATAAAACTGCTATTTTGGAAGAAAAAAAAACACATAAAAAGATGACTACTGTTACAGACGGCTGGGAGGTATGTAGACTGCCAAGTATTATGGGTCAGACCTGGAACAGATAGGAACGGGCACTTCTGCAAAGAAATAAATGGTGTAATCCATTTTTTACTTTTGGGTCTCATTGCACAATCCTTCTGGTAAAAAGCAGCAGCAGATTAATACCTCAACGGAGTCAAAACCGGTGTGAGATAAGAATCAGGCTCTATACATTGCTCAGATCTATCACACAACATTAAACTTCCCTCACAGCCATGTGTTAGCGTTCCACGTCCATATTTAATCAAAGGCTTCCTGGAGCTATCAGATATGCCCATTCTGGTTTGCATCCTTGCCTGCACTGCATTCCCCCCTCGTGCCACCCAGAGATAACACTCTTTTTACTTCACAGCAGCAGTCTCTAAACGTACTGAGCAATGAATGCTGCTGCTAACGAATAATGGCAATGAAAGCAGTTCAGGGAGGAAGAGTGAAGCCACATGAACCTTAGCAATTGCACTCTCCACGTGCAAAGAAAACCCCTTGTAAACTTTTGTGCAGTGATGACACCTCTGACCGCTCTCAGGCACCAAGGCTAGGTGTTGGGAAATAGACTGAGAGAACAGCACTGTAAACCTACCCTGGTTTTAGCTCCTGGCTTTTGCTTCTACTGGGGCAGGATGCTAGGCTGGCTGTGAGGAGCTGGCATGATATATGATATGAGGACTTAGGCATGATGGATGGGGGAATAGTTTCTGTATAATCTGCTGTGTGGATCTGTAACAATACGGTACCATTACATTACTAAAAGCTATGGCACGATACAGCAGCGCATCTGTCCGCTTTCCCTCACTGACCAGGTGTTCCACAGTAATCCTGGTGTCTCTAGCAATCTCTGCTCTGACCTTGCCCTCCAGGTCCTGTGTAGGAGACCACCTAGGGTTAGAAGCCCAAACTGAGCCTGAGGTGAGCTATGGACACAGAGGTCATGTCAATCAGACTTGACATACTCATCAAATTCCATCTGTCTTCGGGAACATACCAAGAGAGAAAAACTAAATGACCACACTTGAGCATCAACTGGAGGGGAAGAAAGGCATTCTAAATATGAAGAAAGAATAGACAAAATCTGCCCAAAGTCTACTTCCTGATTAAACAAACCTTTTACAAGGGACCCAAGACCTCTCAGTGAGGGTCATTTCTGTTATATGGGTAACTAGTCAAGGCGGACACATGTCATGCAAGAGTATGCAGGGACCTCATTTACTTGTGATTGCTGGGATAAAGCTGATGATGATGCTGGAAGAAGAGTGTTCCCCATTTACTAGGAGCAGCAGCTCTTTCCAAGTGGCACCATGAGCTCCTTGGAGCCCTGCAGGCCTGCTATCTGCTCCAGGCAGTGGATCTCCCCGCACAGGGATAGTCAGTTCCACTTGCTGGAGGGCTGCTCTTTTTGGTACAATTTGTGTTTCTCAGACACTGTTTTCGATGAGCTACAAAGCCATGCTCTTCCTTTATGCTGCGAGACTTAAGGCATCTATTATTCAAAGTCTGCGACTAGGGAAAACCTCTCCAGTGATCAGGGGAATGTGAAGTTAGGGTCATAGCAATCTCTGCTTGCTTTTATTCTTCAGGCTAAGAACAACTCCCTCCCACACTCCTCAGCCAACAACAGAAACACTTTGGAAAAGGCTGGCATCAATCTGCACTAGCAGTTGCATTTTCAGTATGGCTGATGATGCTCTGACAACTGCCCTTGGAATGACGCCTCCCTGGATAGTCACCAGGAAAAAGCCTCAAGGATATTGTAGTGAAGGTCCCAGGTATCCACGTGGATTACCTCCACACTGGTCTTGAGCAAAGCCTATTTTGTAAATGGGTTTTGCATGGTTTTTCTGTGATAGGAAAGGAGGAGTTGAGTAAAACAGGCCCATTTTGGGGAACAAGAAGACATTTGCTTCCCTATTAGACCTGGAGTATTGCTCACATTCCATGGTTAGTGCTGGCTGCCATGCTCTGTGCTGGGCCAGCAGTGCATGTCACCAGTACTGCTGGGCACAGAGAACATTGCCCTGGCATGTCTTGTACCTAGCGACTAGTACCCTAGTGCCTAGGGAACCAAGGGACCCCCTGATTTCCCCAGAGCTATTCTGGGATGCTACAGAACTAAATGTTCAACCTTTCATCTCTTAATACACAAATAAAGAAAACTAAGCCTTCCTTACTGTACTTTTCCCGCAATGTTCTATGACAGAAGGCATCCAGAAATTTATTGCAAATACTGTCTGCTCTCTTTTTGAGGCTTGAAAGGCAATTCAGTCTCTCATTTCCCTTTACAGGTATAATAAACCACACAGAAAACAAGGACATGTAGTGATAGGAGAAGGGGGAATGGCTTTAAACCGAAAAAGGGTAGATTTAGGTTAGATATAACGAAGAAACTCTTTCCTGTGAGGGTGCTGAGGCGCTGGCACAGGGTGCCCAGAGGAGCTGTGGCTGCCCCATCCCTGTCAGTGTTCAGGGCCAGGCTGGACAGGGCTTGGAGCAGCCTGGTCTTGTGGAAGGTGTCCCTGCCTGTGGCAGGGGATTGGAACTGGATGAGCTTTAAGGTCCCTTCCAACCCAAACCATTCTGTGTCATTCTATGATACCTGATTGTGCTTACCATGGTGATCAAAAAGCCAATTTTCAGGTTTTTTGCATCCTGCGCATTCTCAGCATGTTTTTGCATGAGTGAAATTACCACGTTGTAAGTTTTTGGTTCATAATCCATCACTTTGAAAAAATACTGAGGGTTCATTGAAACTGCACCTGCTGGGAAAGTGTTAATAGATTAATAGTAGCCACATAAGCCTATTGTATAAGATCTTGCTATGAACCCAGAGGAACAGGTTGTTACTGCTCCAAGATCCTTTGAGAGCACTGTAGTCTCTCCATTACCAGGAGCTGAGGCATCTGGAGTTGAATTAATTGCACATTAATCATTCTAGAAATCTCTGGTGAAGTCATAAAAGTCATGCAGATTTCTCACCCCATTACATCTGCTTCACCTGCATGGCACACTTTCCCTGAGGCACAAACACAGTGATTCTTAATCGGCTGCCTAACCCAGTGGCTGAACTGAGAAGGGCTGCGGCTTGGACAGCATAGTCAGTAAAAGAAAAAGACAAAATGGTCCAAATCTATCCTTCCCTTCCTCCCTGTTATTGTCGAGCACAGAGAGAATAGGCTTTTTTTGGACAAGGTTTTGGTTAACAGGGACCATCCCTGAAAAGAAAGCAGGAAAATGTCCAAAATGGGGAAAAAAAGAAGTGAGATGGCAGCATCTGCTTAAACCACTCTAGACTTTAAGCCATGTAGCTGTGTTGCATGGCCTTGAAAGCTGAAATTTAGCCCACTTGTTCAGACAGGAACTTTAGTAGACGGCTGATGAAAAACACAGCTCCAAGGAAAATAGCTCTGCCTGCATGCTCTCAACTTCAGCCCTTGCATCTCCTTCCTGAGTCCCAGTGCCTATGGTGTGCAGCAGCACAGACGTTGTTTTGTTATCACCCCTTGAGACATAGTGATCAAGGTTACAAGGAGGAGGCTAAAACCTATAAGGCAAATCAGATTTTGCATTGCCAGAAGAGTCCTTGCCCAGGCAGTAAACCCAGAGGTCTTATCTGCCCAAAGGCCTTTCTACCCTTGAAAATAGAGCTTTGTATCACAATTCTTTCCTTTGATATCTATTTAATTTCAGAGTATTTCTTGCTCTGTAAAATCAGCTTTGCCAGACCAGACTTTCTGGTGAGATCCCCAGTAATAGCTATTGCAACTGGCTGAAAGACAAGCACATTTTGATGTAAAGAGTTCAGGGCTTCTAAATCACAATTCTCCTGTTTTAACTCAGCAGCCGGCTCCACTGCTTTGTTTCTGCCTCTTTAGCTGATAGGTGCTGTAATGGGAAAGGGAGGTATTAGCAACTGGCAATCAATGTTTCTGCAATTCAGTGCTCAAAGCACATGTTTTAGTGTAAGCACCAGTGGAGAGGAGGAGAGGACTGGGTAACTGCAATGAGTATTCATTACCTGAGGAATAGTTACTCCTGCCAGTGGCAAGGACTGGTCTCCACAGGTTGATGTGCCTCTCCAGAGACCACGCTGTGCAGTGCTGATCTCCAAAGTCCAGAAACGTTGGAGTGCTGTTACATATATACAGCCAGGAAAACTGCTCCTGGAAGCTTTCACAGGACATCCTGCACAGAAGGATTGAAATTTCACCTTTCAGTTTGAGACATCGGTCAGGCATTCATGTTCACCCTCCACATCTTTAGAAGAGGATTACAGGGAGCGCTACAGGCTATAGCTGAGCTCGCTGATACTTCACAGAAGTCAGCTCTCAATGCTTTTAACTGCACCTGAAGCCCCAGGGAAATTACAGGGCATGGTCAGTGGTACCCAGGTGCAGCCCTGTTCATCTCCAGCACATCCCTGCCACTGCACTTTGCTTTGTCCCTCCGGTGTCCTGCCCTGCACTCATGCTTTGCTCAAGCGTCCAGTGTCTATCTTAGACCAGCCAATTGTTCCCCTGCTTTCCTCAGAGCCTCACAGAGCAAGTGTGCACTTTCTGAACAACAGCAGCTCTTCTAAAGGGTGATAACTGGATCTGGGAGTATTTGAGGCTGTGAAAAACCACAAGCAGCCAAGTGCACACAACCTAATGTTCATAGAATCACAGAGGGGTTTGGGTTAGAAGGGACCTTAAAGCTCATCCAGTTCCAACCCCCTGCCACAGACAGGGCCACCTTCCACTAGACCAGGTTGCTCCAAGCGCCATCCAACCTGGCCTTGAACACTGCCAGGGATGGGGCAGCCACAGCTTCTCTGGGCACCCTGTGCCAGGGCCTCAGCACCCTCGCAGGGAAGAACTTCTGCCTCAGGTCTAATCTAAATCTCCCCCCTGTCATTTTAAAGCCATTCCCCCTTGTCCTGTCACTACAGGCCCTTATAAAAGGCCCCTCTCCAGGGTTCTTGTAGCCCCTTTAGGTATTAGAAGACTGTTACAAGGTCTTCCCTGTGTCCTCTTCTGCAGGCTCAACACCCTTAGCTCTCTCAGACTGCCTTCAGAGGAGAGGTGCTCCAAGCCTCTGATCATCTTTGTGGTCTCCTGTGGACTCACTCAAGCAGTTCTATGTCCCTCTTGTGCTGTTGCCCCAGATCTGAGCGCAGCTCAAGCTCAGTGTTTTATGGGGAAGGACAATGTGACAAAATGACCAAGTCTCAGCCAGCTGGATTGTTACTTCTCTCACTTTTCCTTTTTTTTTTATCTTTCCCACCAGCTTGGTGCTTAATCCTGGCCAGCTCCATTTCTCCAGGTCTTGTTTCCTCTGAAACCATCAGGTCAGGACAACTGCCTAAATGGCTCTTCTTTCATAATGAATGCGAACAGAAACCTGGTAGAGAGAAGGAGCGATAGGGACATACCAAAATTCTCCATCATCCTTGTTTCTGAGGAGGGCTTCTCTGTCTTTTGACTCAACATGGTCCCACTGAGGAGAGCTGCGAACAGGAAGAAATCAACAAGCAGATGTGCAGCACAACTCTCCATCTCCCTGGCCAGCCCGTTCCTCTAACCAGCTCATCAAGTCATGAGGGGTGAGGAGGGGTGAGCAAACTGCACATCAGGAACGGGACTGCACGTTGTATCTTCATACCCAAAGCCAGCAAACAGCTCTGCACCTCTGCTGTGCCTGAGTTGGTCACCCTAGGGTGGGGAACCCTGACTCTGCCTTCCAAGCCCCAGTCACCTGTCCATGTGGTGGAGAGCTTAGTGGGTATCAAGGCAAAGCGCTGTGAAGTGCTGATATTACATTGATGTGTAGAGGGCACATTAGCCAGTCAAATGGGTTGTTTCCAAGCAGCATGTTTATAATTAAGAGATAATTGTACTTTCTGCAGAGTTTAAGATAAATAAAAAGAGCACGAATCAATAATTTATTGATTTATGCAGTTTACCTGTGAACGTGCTTTACTGACATTTCTATTACTGTTAGGATTACAGCTCACCCTTCCAAAGAACGGGAGGATTCTGTCTGAACAGATAGCTATTATCCCAGCCCTAAACATGTCTGCACCACCCGCCAACCCATCCAGACACAACACGCTAGCCTGACTTTTCTCAGCAGAGAAAAGTGATCCTAGCAACAGGGAGAGGCAGGATGCTATTAAATCACATGAGAGTGACACATGAACATCTCTCTAGTCAGGCAACCACTGATGCAATTCCACCAGGAAGACTAATATCTATTTATCCATAAAACACTGTTGCAGTCTTCCTCTGTATCATTCCTTTCCTCAGAAAAGAGCAGTGAGGTTATACACAAAGCAGCAAAGTGGTCTTTGCATCTCCAAAGCTGTGTGCAGGATCCAAAAGATCAGTTCAAGCCATACAGCAGCACTTTGCCTTTGCAATAACCAACGACCCTTTTTCTCTCTCTCTGTGTTCAATACTGCATAAAAATACTGCCCTACCCTCATCGACTCTTCTAACCATCCTTTTCCCACATTCAGACTCATAGGAAGGGGAAGAGGGAGCAAGAAGGAAGATGCATGATTGCTGCAGGAGAATTCAATAGAAGCAGCCAGCCAGTGTCTAGGGAAGTGGCCAGAGCTTACTCCAGGTAATAACAACTCTTTCATCCATGACTTATCTGGATTTACCCACTGGGAAAAATGTACACATAGACAAAAAGGGATACCTGAGCTAGGCCTAGTGATAAGCACATAAAATCAATGCTGCATTAGTTTTTCCCACATTGGATTTCTGTGGGGAGTCGCTTTGCAGATAGAAAGAACACTTATAATGAACTGATTTAGAAATGTCCTTTTCATTACAATGGATGCAATGCAGAGGTCTTCTACAATAAGCCTATAAAAAGTCATCCTTCTTATGAGATTAAATCTTTAAGACCATACTTATCACTCCAAGCCCCCTTCCACTCCCCATGGCCCCATGGATTCCAGATCCTGATGATGTGTATCCACCTATTCTTGTAGCGTATCTATAAAGAAAGAAAAATAAACTCAGTCACAGCTTTTCACAATTGGGATATTCAGTGATGAGGTGGATAATGAAAAGGATCTTCTTCCATACCTGAGACCTGCTTTAACTTCTGATCTCATTTGACTGCAGCTAAAAATCAGCGCCTTTTGCTACAGCATAAAGGAATGACATGTGGGAGAAAACCGTGCCCGATTTGCTTTCCTGAAGACAGTGAAGAGCTGACACACAGGGAAGCAGCAGCATTCCTGCCACGCCGCATGACTTCAGCGGCCTTGGGAAATTCCAGTGTCTAATTCTGCACATCTAATGGTGTGAGTCAGCAAAGGCAGAAACTTTGGGGAATGAGGTCACCAGACTGCCTGGAGTGAATGTCAACAGTGAGCATGAAGAGATGACGATAAACAGAACCTGCAGCTCTATATCTACAGCACTGTGGCTTCCAACAGCTGCGGTTCCAGTGCTTTTCTTGTCTTGCTGTTACTGGTTTAAACCAGAAGCAACTCACTTGCACCAGTCAAAGTGGAAAGGAGAAGCAAACCTTTTGTTTCCAACTCTCTTTATGCATACAGACAGTGCTGGAAACAAATGCCATGGCAGTCTCTTCCCAAGCAAAGGTCTAGCCTGTGGCCAGCCTCAAGTCATCCCACACAGGACACCCCCATGGATGCCTTGGCAAAGGGCAAAGACTGTTTCTCCTCTCCGCACACATCATGAGCAGCACCATGCTGAAACAGCCTGCTTCCTCTCCAATAGCATTCAGGATCCTTCCACCCCTGTGTTGGGGAGAACCAGCTGGGGCTCTCTCTGTAGCCCAGCAACCTTCATCCTTCCATTTTGGAGCCTCTTGGCTACAAGTCCTCCAACAAGAAGCACGCTGACTGATCACGGCACACAGCATGCCATGGCACACGGGGCTATGAACCAAGCTTATACAGAAAATCATGGGAAGAAGGGAGAAAATAACTTAGGTAAAACAATGTCCCCTTTCCAAAGTACTTTAAGTTCTGAGATTAAAATGTGTTTTAGCTCTCTTGCTTGATAGCACAGCCACTGTTTGGTTTCCTTCTTGGCCGTGCTCACTGTTAACTCTCCCTGTGTGCACTACAGCTTACTGGGGTAAGCCATGTTCTGACTTCTGGCTGTAAAAAAAACCTCTCATTTCTTTTGATCTGTGTGATAAATGGGTCCTACTTTCAGATCAGCAATATTAATACCTAGCCAGGAGAAGTTCTGCATGAGTAGAACAGCTTTAAAAGATGGAGAAATGCTGTTCCTGAACCAGTGAGTTATTTACTTTTCACACAGTGATTTTTGGCAGCTTGTGATGGAGCTGAACAAACGTAGATCTGCATTATATGACAAATTCCACAGTTTCAGCCAGTGATTCTATTCCCATTTGAAAAGGAAAAGTGAATTTTTCAAGAGTCAGCATGGAATGCAAATCCCCGGAAATGGCTGTATTTGCTGTTGAAGTGCCCTAAAACAAAAGTGAATTAAAGTTGCATTAGAAAAAATAGATTTTCTCCCTATTCCCATTGTGCCAGAATCCTTCCATCTCCTGGAATCTGAGTTACGTGCTTTCAACAACCCCTCCTAAGTGTGAAGCTAATCAAAATTCCTCTGAGCAGAGCAGCAATGTGATTGTCCTGTAGTGGATCACCAATACAAGAACAAGTCCTTGATCTTACCTTCTCAGCTCCAGTGACAGTGTAGGCATGACCCTGTACAATCCCATTCTTCAGCTCTATATTCCTCATGAGCTGCAGAAGGGAGAGAGCACAGCTTTTAACTCTCTGCCACACTGCGGATGTATGGCCATCAACCCCCACAGCTGTCACTTGGCATGGCACAAAAACACAAGACTTACTTTTGACTACAGCATCATCTCAGATACTTTGGCTCCAGAGGAACGTGACTGTTGTTCCCACTGCAGCCATAAGCAGGTCAGTAAATTTAACAACACTACAGGTCCTCACATATTTCCAAGTTCTTCAATGGACCAGAGCTGCTGCAACCGCAGAATAACCTGGACTGGGTCACTGGCAGGATTTCTCTGCCACCCACAGCCCAGTATCAGCCACCTGAGTTGAGGGGCTAATCCTTGGCTTGTTTGGAAGACAAGCTTCATGTCCCAGTGAAGCAGGCAGGCGCTACATGTGCCATATATCACACTTTGCAGTCTTCCCTTACATGCTGTAAAGGGAAGCCTTGGCAACCTTTTAGCAAGACACTTGCTGAGCATCACAAAGCCTTTTGCAGCTTCCCAGCAGTAACACCTGTAGCCTACAAATCACAAGGCGATAACAGCATCCTCTCACAGAAGAGAGGTGCATTTTGGCTTTGCTAGAACCAATCACAAAGCTAGGAGGTCAAAACCAGTCCTGCTGATAGAAGATACCACTTGCAGTGGAATTAGCCAGGAGAGAAGCCACAGACCCCATTCTGACAGAGCAATCCATCTACACATCTACCAAAAGCCTTTATATTCCTTACTGCATAAGTGTGTCTACTTTCTGCTGCTAAGATCTCTTCAGGCATCCATAGACCGTAGCTATTGCACAGAGTGATTCTGGACTTCCTTTTTCAGTAAAAGGAGCAGCCTTTATGCACACATAGTAAGCCAGGAGACGGATGCTACTGGCCCTGTGACTCACCTGGCCTGAGGTGCTACACCCCATCAGACAATGAGATTTGTCAGCTGCCTTCAGTATCTCATGCAGATCAGGAGGAGGATCCTTCAAGGAAAACTGTACTTGGACTCCACCTGTGAAGTCTACTAAAGCATCAGAAGGGTAGCCCCCATGCAAGTGCTGGTAGGAACCCTGCAACCTGAAACAAACCAAATCCCAAGAAGCTAGTTAGTCCTCACACTCTGTTTTAATAAACAATGCACAGTGATGGCTTTCAAAATGGACATGCACATCAAGGTGGTGAGCACTGGGTATGTAGACACTGGGACCAGTTAATGAAAGGAAACATGACTGAAATACATGGCCAAGCACAACACACACTGTGGAATGAATGAGGCAGAGGGACTTTTTCCTATGTATTCATCCACATGTGTCACAGCTGTCTGGAGCCATTTACAGACAAAGGAAAATAGTAAGGTGCATCTCATGCCAATGCAGACATGATATGGGATATGAGCTGCATCGCATCATGAAATACCCAGTTTCCTTCTTCTGAACAGGAAGGGAGCCAAGGGTTGAATAGTTCAGACGGATGTTTCAGATCAAACAGAGCTGAACTCTTAGTTTCTACATCATATTTTGTCATGATTCTTCACAAAAATGGCCAGTATCCCTTTGCAAATGCAAAATAGGAAGAAGAGAGAGGTGAAGGTATTTGCCCATGCTCCCAAGGCAAGACAGAAATGAGGTTTCAGCACTGTTCTGAATTCACTCTGCTAGAGTGCAATAATAGGATAATAATTTAATATTGCCACCACAGTCCTTGTTGTTTTTATCGTGCACTTTTTATTGAGACAGCAAATAAGCTGGAACATGCCGTACTTAGAGCAGGTAGAGCATGCTGTTAAACCCCACCATACACACTGTATTTAATGAACGTAATCAAATGAAGTCTGCAGCTAATTGTATTTTGAAGGGCTGTCCTTGTCCTACACTGATGAAAAGAATTTGTCATGGGCACCGGGGAATAACTTCTCAAATGGGAATCTTATAAACAGCATCGCTTGCAACTTTAATTTAATAGAGGTTTGGTTTGCTTTGTAATTAAAATCTTATGCAGCAAATTGACGCTGAATCCTGAGTCAACTTTTCTGAGAGAACTCTGGGCAAAATGTATCCTATTCCTGAGACGCCCAAATGCTGCTTCAACATTTGTTTGTTCCTGACCAAATCTGCCAAAACAATTAGCTCTCTTCTTCAGCTTCCCTTTACTGCATTGCAAATGTTACACCAGCTTGAGCTAGGGCAGGTGTACCAAGTTCTAGCCCTTTATACTACCCCTAGTACATGAATGTCTCTTCAGCATGTTTAATAATGGGCAATGTTACAGGTGCTAAGGGACCACACTCTGATCTCTTTACACCTCAGAGGATTTGAAAGGTGATTATCTCTTTATTAATCATCATTAACCCTGCAGTACTTTAGGGACCTCAACCAAGAGTCAGCACGCTCTGTGTGAAATGAGAGCTGACCAGAGACTCACTGGAGCGCATATGTTGTGCCTGGACATGTTCTTCAGCCATGCATCCTCTCACTGCCTGCTCCCAATGTCTGCATGGTCTCTGATTAGTCACTGTAAACAGAGGCAATTCCAGCTTAGAGTTCACAGAGGAAAACACAGAAAGGAAAACAGGCAAAGTCTGCTTGAAGTAAGGAGGAGATGCCCAGCCCCTTTTGTGTCACCAGCCATTGCCCGCTTCATTTTACTCCCCAGGCATTAACATCCCAGAGTTGGACTGGGTGCATTTAGATCTTCCGCCCGAGACCAACAACTCCAGGTTGTGTTGGCTCTGTGTATGCGTGCAGCCACGGCTCCTTGCATAAGCACAGCACGACAATCACAGCTGCTAGCCTGAACTCCTCCCTGTATGCCTTGTGTAAAGCAAAGGGTGAAACCACATGTAGAGAGCATTCAGCAGTGGGTGGAAGAATAGACCAGGTATGTTTACTTGGCATATGCTTTTTCCAGCAAGGATGGCCAGAATTCATTAGACGTTCGAGGGTGTACAGACAGGTATCTTCCATTTAGGAACGGCAGCCGGTCATCTATCACTACATCCACCCAGTCTCCATATTGCCAGAACTGGAAATTAAGAAAAGAAAGAGTACAGATGAGCCCCTTTCAAGAGCTGATACTCATGCCAAGCAACAGCCTCCTGAAATAGCACAGGAATGAATCTAAAACATGGATATGTGCAAGTTCTCTCCTGAAATGCTTCAGGCTAATTGTTAAACAAGCTCCCAAGTGGCTGGATTTCCAAGTGGCAAGGGAAGTCTTTTGGGAATATAAATAGTCCTGTAAACAGTGGGAGGAAATATTAAACAGGGGAAATATGCAAATATTCTTGGGCAATAGGAAGCATTCGAGACGATAAAGAACAATCATGCAGATGGTTCAGTGAGCCTTATTCCTTAGCTGCGCTTGAATTTTCCCCTGCAGCACAGCTCTTGGCCAAAGAGCCTCTGTCAAGATCCAGTCTCTAGTGTTTCTTTCCTTTGTGCTTCCGCTAAGACTCTGAGCTACTGTCATGGACAGGAACTGTGTACTGACTAAGGACTGTTTTGACGTGTTATCCATCTCCTTGATAGATGAGGAGGATGCAGGCGGTCTCTCCAGCATGTGGACAGAGCAGGTGTTTCTCCAGCTGATGAAACCTTTCAAGGGAGAAGATAGGGGAAAAGATGTTTTGGGATGAACTAAAGGAGCAATTTCCAGAGTCATTAGCAGATTAATGTAGCTTAGCATGATTCGCAATCATAAGAGGCCAAGCTCTTATTTGCAGTAATGCTAAGGACTCCAGTGGAAGTATGCCAGCAATAGATTTAGTCCAGCATGATTTTATTTTAACAGCTTTGGTCAATGAAAAACCTCAAAAAGAGCTGTTCTGTTAGAAAAGCACAAGACCAGATGTGCCCAGCAGCAAAGCGGTTTATAGTCTGCTAAGCACAAAGCAGGTTTGATCCTACTCACATCCTGCCTCACCCCAGCCTCTCACTTCCTACATTAGTTGTGGCAGGAGGTGGCACAGTTGGACTCCTGAACTTGAGCTCCAGCAGTAATTGGAGGGTTCTGCTTGATTTTGGCAGGACAGGGTTTGAGAAAAAGCCTGCCACCAGCTGTCCTCAGCCCAAAAGGGAGACAGACAAAGGGAGAGTCCAAAAGGAGCTGCCTTTTCATCATCCAACATACTGTCACCAGTCAACACCAACCAACAGGTCTGCATGGAGAAAAGGTGTGACATCCCGCCACGCTCCCCTATGGTGCTCCACATGCAAGACAAGAGGTGAAAAAGGAAAACAATATGGAACTGCCCATGGGGATTAATGCAGTCCAAACCCACTGAGTGATGTTTTTAAAACCCCAGGTTCTTTGGCAGGGAAATGAAGCTTGGAGGCCTTCTGAAAACAGCATTATATTTTTCTTTCCTGGATAAAGAGAGCTGCTTTGCCCTGACTGCCGCAGACTTTCAGATAGTGGCCTCATCTGAGCTCACAAAGACAGGAAAAGCCCCAATGGGAATGAAAAACCTCATGGAAAATCCTAGGATGCTCTGGGAGTGCAAGAGTGGTGGAGGAGAAGCCATTGTCCTGCATATGCCTTCAGAGAAGGCCAAAGCTTTCACTTTGAGGCTTGAGAGTCTGGCTTCATGGAATTCCTTTATACCCTCAGGATTTAAAGTACTGCAGCCAGGAATATGACAGTAAATGAAACAAAGAATTCCTGTGTAGGCAGGCTGCAAAGAGGGAAGTTCTTTGCTTCCACATTTGTGGGGAGCCTTTTAAATCAGGACTTCATTTTCCTGGGCTTAGAAGAGAAGGAAAAACAAATGGACAGTTGCAAGATGACAATACTGTGTTGTTATTTCACCCCATTGTTTTCCTCCTTTGGCAGGATGTTGCATAAATCCAATTCTGGAATTGAGCAAGGTGAAAACCCCAACAGTTTCAACCGCTCTTTTGCATGGTGTTAGAAGGCACCTTTTGGATGTGTCCTGAAACAGAGATCTTGACCACTTCTGTCCTTTAAAGATTTCATTAGGAACATTAGCACTCAGGGCAGATCCCCCCTGCTTTGAGCTGATGCACTGTGCCATACATAGTCCCTACAGCATACTTAGGTTTCTAACCAGGCTGAGCTACTGCTGCTCCCTGCCACAACATGTGGCACACCTTTGCCTCACAGGCATCAGAGCTTCCGTGGCAGAGAAAGTGATTCCTAGACAAACACAGGATTAACTTTATCCCTGGTGATATAGCATCAGTGTAATTATCCCCTAGATAAAAACATCACTCATCTCTACTACAGCTGATGAAGTGCTCAACACCTTTAACTCTTGCAGCTGAACAGCCAGTGTTGTGTAGGAAGACTGAAGCAGCCCGAGAAGCAACATGCTCCAGATCCAAAAAGGTGAAAAAAAGTTATAAGCTCAAATTATTATGCTAGCATATGATATGGCTCATCTGTGATTCTTCACTGAGCAGAGGACTGGTGGCTTAACCTGTGGATGGCAGTAAAATATCTTTGATGGAATAATTGAAAGCATTGTCGAGAAGCATTTCCATTCAGAGTAGCTTTCTCAGGGGTTTATTGCTCAAGGAAGGCCAGAAAGAGTTGCATTGATTTGCAGATGAGATGACAGTGAAAACATTTTCAAATACTGTAAGGTATTTATACTGCTTCAGATTTGAGGATTGCTCCTAACTAATCTTTTCAAAGCTCTCATGAAAGAAAATCTAGCTTGCATCCTTTCAATGTATTTGAAGCAGACTGCTGTCCCTTTAGCTGGTTTATCTCATACAGTGCACCTCTGCATGCTGGAAATAGGCCAATACAGAAACATCTGGTATACCAAGGAGCAAAGGAACAGAGCAAAATTTAGGCTGCCTGCAAGATAATCCTCCTGGTGCTGCTCCACGGGAGGTCTCAGGAGTCAGAGAAGGCTCAGTGCCAGAACTCTTTGGTACTGAACTACATATAACACAACAATTTGTGAAAGAAGGGGGATGATGAATGGTTGAGTATCTACTGATTGTCTACATCCAGTTGAGCTTCTGGAACTTAACGGTACTGCAGGTGTTTCTAATCCCACAGATATTTGGTCCATTCAGATACAAGAAAGCAAAGCCTGCCAGTGACTATCCTGTCACCTCCCTGGGACACTCAGAGAATTTCAAGAGTGCTTCTCTCTCTGAAATACATCTCCTTTCAAAATATCAAAAGCCTGCTCCCCTGATTTGTCTCCAAGGATTTGTAATTTCAAGCCATTTCTGTGAGCTAAAAGGGCAAGGAAATATATGGGGAAACAAAAAATGAATCCAAGTAGATGAACAACACAGGTGTGGTGACAGCCATAACAAACTGTCCAAATCACAGCAGACACTAGAATGCCATCTAATGCCATACAGGTACACAAATGTATCTGAACAGCTGGTACCAGTATCTCCGGAGTCATAACTTTCCAAAAAGGTTTTCCAGTTCTCTGCAATGCGATTGCACCCCCTGGAGCATGAGGAATCACCGGAAAATTTGGGATTGTCTGCAAATATCTGAACTGGGAGTCAGCACTGAAGAACCGTGGCATTCAAAGCTGTCAAGATCTGGGACTGCTGCTTGGATCCCTGTATAATCCAACCAGCCAAGCCCAAGCAGTACCAATACAGCAGAGAGTACATACCCGGAAATGAAAAATCCCAGCATAATCATTCTGGAATCCTTGATCCCTTGGTAAAACGTTTCCCAAAAATTGCTTCTGCAGTGTCAGGGAGCCCAGGGCAGCCAGCATCCAGCAGTCACCTCAAGGGAGATAAGAATGCAGTGCATTCAGTCAATTACCACTGTGGACCATAACTAACTCTTTAGGAAGGTGGACTTCAACATCTGAGACATCCAAGAGCTGGTTTGTTAAAAGAAACCAACGTTCTTGCATCTCCTGTCCAGCCCCCAAAGCACTGAATGCAGTATTCACCAGCAATGTCCACTGGGAACCCTGATGCCACCCAGCCATTCTCTTCTACTTTCATTCTCCTGTCTTTTGTGGTCATGTTGAAACCTGCAATCTAGAATACTGTTTAGGAAGTCGTCAAACCTTTCCGTGGGGTGAAAAATGGAAAGACATTTCTATATATAAGATAGTTCTGGTGTCCTCAACATAAAAAGGACATGGAACTGTTGGAACAAGTACAGAGGAGGCCACGAGGATGACCAGGGAGCTGGAGCACCTCCTGTATAAAGATAGGCTGAGAAAGTTGGGGCTGTTCAGCCTGGAGAAGAGAAGGCTGCGTGGAGACCTCATAGCAGCCTTCCAGTATCTGAAGGGGGCCTATAGGGATGCTGGGGAGGGACTCTTCATTAGGGACTGTAGTGATAGGACAAGGGGTAATGGGTTAAAACTTAAACAGGGGAAGTTTAGATTGGATATAAGGAGGAAATTCTTTCCTGTTAGGGTGATGAGGCCCTGGAATGGGTTGCCCAGGGAGGTTGCGAATGCTCCATCCCTGGCAGTGTTCAAGGCCAGGTTGGACAGAGCCTTGAGTGAGGTGATTTAGTGTGAAGTGTCCCTGCCCATGGCAGGGGGGTTGGAACTGGATCTTAAGGTTCTTTCCAACCCTAACTATTCTATGATTCTATGATTCTATGATATGGGAGCAGAGCTGCTTCCAAAGACAAGCATGGTTATGGGCCAGGAGAAAAGGATGGAACTGATAAGGGTGCAGACACATGTTGGAGCTGTGCCTACTTATCCCAGAACTGTGACCCTTGTACATGAAGCATCTGCCCGATCTCATTTGCACCTTGTCCTTATATACGTAGCGGGCAGGTGTCATAAATAAGTAACAAGGATTAGAGCTGCAGCATTTGGGAATCCTGTTAAATATCTGCAATAAATTGTGTGTGAACTTGTGTGAGCCTGGATTGACCTGCAATAATTGTTTACTGCAGCTACCATGGTCTTCCCATCGAGCACTCAGAACATAGCGAAACAAGCACAGGTTATTGCTTTGTGCCAGCCTTTTCCAAACCAGCATTATATGACCTTACCTATTTCTCCTTGCATGATATCAAATCTGCTAACTCCATCTATGATCAAATGAGGATTTCTCTGCAGTTCCTGGAAGAAGGAAAATGCAAAGAGCAGCATGAGTACCCTCCCGTGCCAGCAATGTGTTACTGCCCCTTGGAGCCCCTTGTTTGCTTACCTTTTCCACATCTGAAAACTATTCCTCTTGAACCCTGATGTTTTTTGCCTGTCACCAGCAGAACCAGAAGAGATACTCAGGCATCTCTTCTTTAGTCTGCTCAGCTATTCCTAGGGATGGGGGCTTGTAGCTGGGTGTGTGCTGAGCTTTCATTTGGGTTTCTCTAGTGCTAACAACACATTTCAAAGAGGGCTCTGAGCCTGGCTATAAAATCATGCTCTTTCCTGAGGGAGAGAGGGGCTCCCTGTGTGGAAACACAGAGGTTTCCAAGCAGTGCGGAGCAGGATCTGTACTTCAGCTCAGCAGTGGGTCTAGGAACTTTTTATTCTCTGAGCCTTTTTTGTTTCTATGCAGGACTAAAACGGATCAGCCAGGGCTGCTCTTCATCACTGGTGAGGAAGCTATAGAAAAAGAGCTTAATCTCTGGCTGCAAAATCCCATAGACCTGGCTGGCATTTTTAGTTCAGGGAGAATTTCCTTGCATTCCTTGAGTCTGGCTTGGGCAGTGAAGGGGAAATACTCCAGAGCCTGGTTAGCACGCAGAAATATGAACCATTCTCCCATCTGTGTCTGCTATTGGTCTGGGATATCAGACTGCTTAGGTAGAAATGGCCCAAGCATCCTCTGTGATACCCTTGGCACACCCCGACTGGGTAAAGCTGTTTTGAAAGAGCTATCAGCCTTAAATAGGAAAGTCATCGCACACCTAAGAAAATGAAGAGATAAAAGGGAGAAAAAACACACCATCTGAGTAAGAAAAATAATACAGCAGCTCGTCCTTAAGCAGGCCCTGGCATTTCTTCTCCCAAATCGATTTGACATGCTGCACAAAAATGAGACCAGCGCACAACGTGACTCGCACGGTTGCATGAGCTCAGCATTAGCAAACACTGTCAGGTTTCTGAAAGAGCTTCACGGTGATCAAACCCCTCCAAGAAGTTTCCCTGTCAGGAGCAGATACAACGCAATGCTGCTGCTCCAGGCTGGTGGACACATCATGCTCCCACAGCACTGCTGACACCAGGGAAAGCAGCCCTGGCAGGCATCTTCCTTGACAGATGCTTTTGTGTAGCCATCCTCACCTATCCCTGGACTTCAGGGATTTGTGGCAAGAGATTTAACAACAGCATACAGGAATGGGTATTTTTGTTCCCCCATCATTTTTGAGGCTGTTGAAGTCTTAGCTGTCCCAGGGAGGGTGGCTGGGCTCTGATGAATGTGCTACAATGCAGAGCGGCCATAGGGGCAACCACCATATAGAAACATCAGCCTGAAACTGATGGGAAGACAGCTGCTTCTCTTATGCAGATTCCCAAAGAAAGGGCTGATGCTCTGCTCTCTCCTGGGACAATAAAGCTCTTAAGTGCACTGTTACAGAGACCACCTGAAAAGTCAGCCCATTAGATGCCTCAGCAGATATCCTATTGCCCATCAAGACCGTTAACTCCCCAGTAAACAAACAGGGATGGGTTGAGTCACTAAGCAGGTTCCTTGCAGAGAACAACCAGTGATTTTGTCTAAAAAAAAGAAGACATGATCTGAAGTCAGCCCCATCCAACATGCCTTGACTGTGCATACAGATGATTGTGGTTATCATAGGGGACAAAAGATGAAGGCAAACACTCTTGCTATAATCCTCAACCACAATACATTAATCTTTGTTTCCAGGAGGGGTCTATTCCTACAGATTCAGAAGCAGAAGCTGCGGAAAAGGCAGGAGGGGCAGCAGTGGGGTATTGCAAGACCAGGTACTCATAAGAGCTCTGGAAGAGCACGACCCCTGCAGTCAGTGGTGGAATGGCTGTTCCCTTGAAGGATGCTGTGTGGAGAGAGCCTGAGCTAAACATAGAGGGTTTCTGAAAGAGTTTGGAGACGACATAGTTGTGCTGGGTGCTTTGGAAATGTGGTCCTTCTCAACCAGGAGGAAAGGAAACCTCCAGTTAGCTCCTCTTCCTTCAAAGTCATAAAACACCAGAAACTATCATCTACTAGTGAAAAACACAGCTAAGCACATAGTTGCCATACACAAATCATAGAATCACAGAATAGTCAGGGTTGGAAAGGACCTTAAGATTATCCACTTCCAAGCCTCCCTGCCATGGGCAGGGACACCTCACACTAAACCATGTCACCCAAGGCTCTGTCCAACCTGGCCTTGAACACCGCCAGCGATGGAGCATTCACATCTTCCTTGGCAACCCATTCCAGTGCCTCACCACCCTTACAGTATGCCTTGCTATTTGCTAGTCCTCAAATTGCACAACAAATAGAGAAACCACAGATTTAATTATGAATCTGTCCAGAAGCAGCCGCCTGTTTCACTGTGAAATTATGATGAGGCTTTGCAGCATCTTCCCTTCTCAGACTTCTCAGTTTTAGCTGGAGGGGTAAAAGAAGAGGAAGCTCAAGGAGACACGTGGTTAATCCTCAGAGTTCCCATGAGTCCAGCAGTGAAGGCAACCATATGGTCTGCAAGTCAAACACTGCCTAAACTTATCCCCCCAGGACAAAGCTATCATCGCTGGCTTTCCCTGGCCCACTGAAGATTTCATTATGCATTCAGAATAAAAGAGAAGTTCAAGTTCAAACCACTTCATCCTCTGGGGAATAGTTTTACCACAGAAGTACTGTTTATCCAAAGGGCAAGATGGAGAATTAATTTAAGAGGTGGAAGGACAGCGCACTGTACATGCATTTGCCCATGAAGTTCTTTTTATAAGTGCTTGAAATTCTTAAGGAAGAACAAGTCCCCAGAAGCTACAGGTGAGTAGTGTAGATGTAAGCCACATGCAAAGGACACAGTCAAACATTCCTGCGGAAAACTGGAAGCCCAAGGTGGGATTTTGTGGGCAGCACAAGTCAGTCTGGTTGCAGGCTGCTCCTCAGTATGGTGGTCTGGCTGTGGCCACTTTCCCCCAGATCTCCCCGCTGGCCCAGCATGATCCAAGTGCAGGCTCAAGAGATGAAGAAGCAGGAGATGGCTCTTTGTACAGCACTCTCCTGATCCGTTCACCTTAACCCTACAGTAAAATCCCAGCCTGGCTTCTGTTCCTGCCACAGCACCACATCTTTCCCTTCAGCTGCACTTGCACCACTCCCTCCTGCTCCCGCTCCACCTTCCTGACACATCCTGCCATGGTAAGCCGCAGTGTTCCCCCTTTAACACACATGTTAAAAGAAATAAAAAGGCTGTGATTAATTGAAACCAAACTCTGTTCTCAGCTGGACAAATCTTAATTCAGCATCACTGATGTGCCTGGAATATCGTTGCTCTGGAACAAGAAGCAAACACAGTATTGCAGTTCCCTGGGCTGAGGGAACATGACTAGCAGCGCACTGAGGATTGGTCAGACACACCATTACGTACGTCCCACAACCACAGGAAACTCCACAGGGTAACTAACACAGAAACAAGGTGGTTGGAATGACAAAGGAGGGAAGAACAAAGGATAAACTGTGCTGGCACACACCAAAGGTCTGCCTGTTGCAATGACTTGCCTCCAACAGCTTGGGGAGAGAGAGAAATAACCAAGCAAGCTGAAACTAATGCTCCTCCTGTATACATTTTCCCACTCTCACCACTTAGAGGCTAAAGGACTTCCCAGGCTGAAGGCTTTATCCACAGTTTAGTGTTTATTAGGCCTTTTGGGAATTGGGAATCTGCCTAATCTGTTTACTTTTGTAAGCTCATATTGCGTTTTTCTTTGACATTCTCTTAGACGGGAAGAACTGGGCTAATCTCAAGGGTTTTGCTTGCACCACCAGAACTCAGCTCCCTGCTTTACAGCAGAATAGCTCAAATCCTAATTACCTGTGGTCAATACAAATGCCTTAGTTGCTTAAAAACCCCTGCTCTGCCCCAGCTCGCTTTCACAATGGAAGATGGAGGTCGTCAGGCCCACACATGTAAGAGCAGAGTCCTGTTGGAGGACAGACTGGTGTGCAGCAACCAGCAGGAACAGAAACCAGCTCGGATTTTACCTGCAGTCGGTTTGCTTTGTGTGGCTCAATGCTAAAAAACAATGACAGTTGCAAACACAGGAGGTAAATACAACGGAGGGAAACAAGGGAGATAGACCTGTCTACCCCAAGCCTTTGAGAGGCGGTTTCCTTACAGGTCTTGAAACCTCCCACTTAGACCATACAGTACAAAGCTGGGTGTTACCAACTGTTCCCCTGTGGTCATCACACCACAACCATATAATCCTGCTAGCTGAGTCCCCAGCCTGAGAAGGAGGGAGGCAGGCAAGACCATCAGAGTGCTGCTTCTCCCTTAACCTGTGATCCATGCATTCCCCCTCCACACACACACATAACCAGCCCTCTCCAAAAATCAATAGATCCAGGAGATACTACGCAAATAAACCCTCCTCATTTAAAGCCTGTGCAGAAAGATATAGGTGATAAATGGAGATGCACTGCAGCTTCCCCGGCTGAAAGATACGAACTCTGAAGCTGAGGTCAGATGCAATCAGCCGAGTAGGCAAGGGCTGACACAATGGCAGCCTGGAAACGCTGTTCAATTACACTGATTGCACGCACACCCTCAAAATAAGGTGAATTGATTTTGATTTCCATCAAGGAGAAATACTGAGCAGGATCCAAGGGCCCTGTGGCTCCTGGGAAGCACTGGAGCTGTGAACTCCATCAGGAACAGCCGGCAAGCAGCTTTGGCTCATGCCAGGGAATGGCCCCAGGTTGACAGACTTGCAAGTAGCGCTATCCCTCATCGCCGCTCATTTCCCGTAACTTGCTTTATTAAAGCACTCATGTGACAATCTGTATTTCTCACTCCCACCCCTTTTTCTTTAATATAAGAGCTAAGTTTTTAAGCTAACTACAAACCATTGTCTGATTTCTTGCCTGAACCAAACCTGTCTTTTTCTCCCCTCCAGCTAGACAGGCCAAGGCTGATGCAGTAGGAACTCAGCTCAGTTTATCTGTCTGGTAAGATTTTGACTTCTAAATGATTTTTTTTTTCTTGTAAAAGGATCCATTTTGGCTTAGTCAGTTCCTGGGTTCAAAATTCCTTCATGCTGATGGTATTTTCTGGGAATTTAATAAAATGCCAATGAACAAATAATCACCAGAAGCAGTGCAGAATCACTCGGGTCCTGACAGGAGGTTACATTTGCTTTAGGAAGGGACAGAGGAAGGGAGGAAAAAGTGTGAGGAAGCCCTTCTGCAAAATTACTGAATCAAATGACAAATCACTTTTCCCAGCAAACAAGCACTGGCCCAAAATGTGTCATTTCCCCAAATGCTTTTCAGATGCTAAGTGCAGCAGCACAGTTCTGAGCCTCTGCTAAGAAAAAAGGATATATCCCTTGCTCAAGCTCAAACTAAAGTAATCTCTTTCTGTGGCTTCTACCCAAGGCCACAGACTGGTGGACTTCTCTTAGACCCTATTCTTCGCTTCCCCTGACACCAGATATGAGATAAATACCCAAGAACTCCATGCCCTGATGCTGTGAACAGACTGTGATGATGCAGAGGAAACCCATGTTGGTTACGTCAGTCCTTTCACCACACACACTCCTACAAATTGTATCAGAGGCACTCAGTGATTTCTCTCACGTTGATCCAGGCCTGTCTACCTTGTAGCTTTTCCCTCTCTTCTGGTTGCCCCCCAAGCATCACAATCTGCGTTAAGCAGGGGATGGACTTTTTTTGCTCAGCAATCCCTCCCTCCATAAGGGAGCTACAGGGTCCTGAAGAGACAAAGGGTGAGCAGTGCAGGAGCAGTGGCCTGTGACCTTGAAGACTCAAGAAAAATCTTCAGCAGCTTCACCCTCTGCCCATTTTAGTCTTTTTGTAAAGCATAAGCACTGAAGATTAGAAACTATCCTTAACATTTGTAATGGGTATCGTATTGAGCCAGCGGTGGGCTATCCCTGATGCAGGGGCTGATTGAGTACATGGTTATCTCCTCTCACACATAGAATCATGGAATGGTTTGGGCTGGAAAGGACCCTAAGATCATTATTTCCAACCCCTTGCCATGGGCAGGGACACCTTCCACTAGAGCAGGTTGCTCCAAGCCCCGTCCAACCTGGCCTTGAACACTGTCAGGGATGGGGCAGCCACAGCTTCTCTGGGCAGCCTGTGCCAGGGCCTCAGCACCCTCACAGGGAAGAACTTCTTCCTTATATCTAACCTAAAACTCCCCTGTTTAAGTTTGAACCCATTACCCTTTGTCCTATCACTACAGTCCCTGATGAAAAGTCCATAGCATCCTTGTAGGCCCCCTGCAGATACTGGCATATACCACATTCAAAAACATAAGCAACGTTAGCCAAGGTAAAGCATTCCACATTCAACACCACTACAATTCACATTGTCTGGATCATCCTAATTCAGTTTCTTTTTGCATTTGTATAGTACTATGCATTATGGTCAGAACCAGAGTGAAATCTTTAGCCTAAACCTTAATTGATCAAAATTGTGTATTCAGCAACAGCAGATCATTCCACGACTTCCTCTGTTCCACTCAACTGCTTGTGTGAAGGAAAAGCACAGAAGTTCATTTGTTCTGAACATTTCAAAAGAAGCCCCTCAGTTTTTTAAATCTGACATAACTCTTCAAGGAGAATTTCCCTTTGGTTTGGCTTTGGAAAGGCCCAGCTATAGAAAATAATCTGTTCAGTTTAAAATAGAACTTCCCTTCCACTCCTCAAAACTGTAGGTGAACCAAAAGAACAGCTAATTGCAGAGCTCCTACTGGATCTGGTACCTCCAGCCCCACTTCTAGTAATGTTTGAAGTACCCCATGCAAAATCTCCGTTAGAAATTGCACACGTTTTAATGGACATAGACTGAGGGCCTGGGGATGAAAACACAGCCTGGAACAGTCTCCATTTGATGGGAAACTGCAGCTACTGCAGAGTTAGAGGTGGCATTTCAGATGTTGTCCTGGTGCTCCTGACTCACGTCTCCCTTCAGACTCCCATACTGAATCAGCTCACTTTACAAGCCACGTGCTATAGCACCAACATAGATGGAAAGTGCTGCCTTTACCTTTGCACACACAACTTCTCTGATACTTCCAGGCCCTGCTGCAGCAGCAGGTAGTGAGAAATTCAAGCCTCAAGTCCCATCCCTCTTACCACAATACTCAGCCACATCCCTGTTGGTGTCCAGGTTGCAGCTTCTTCTCCATCTACTGCTTCACCACATCACATTCCATTTACACCAAGGCGGGGGCTTCCCACCTTTCCATTCAGGCATCCACATTTACAAGCTCTGCAGGCTCCCTCTGCTAGCCTGTTTCCCTTCTGGAACCCATGGCTTTCAATGTCCATGCTGGTAGCAGCCTCTGATGCTACTATGCCATGGCCACCACATTGCCAGCCTTCAGTGTACCCTCATTGCCCTACTTGCGTCTGCCACCTAAATAAATCTTCCCCAGTTGTCTTGTTCTGTCTCTCACAGTTACTCTCCCTATCCTGAGGGTTCCCCTCAGGAAGAAGGACTGGTTTGCTCCAGCCCAGGGAAGCCAGAGGCCCCAGGCACCAGTGCTGTGCTCAGAAAAACCCAGCAAAGGAGCAGCACATGGCAAACCCAGTAGCTGCATTAGCAGCAAATGGTACATAGCAGTGCTATATAACACAGTCATGGAAAGATTCCCTAAAGCAGGTCCTAGGATAAAAGGGCTGAGTATGTGATTCCACCTTCCAGTTTAAACATCCGTATGCCAGATAATGACAACTGCCTACTAAACTGCAACTGCAAATCAGCAGATAAACACACTTCATCTCATGCCTCGTCCCAATTACTTTAAATAGGTATTGCTGAGTCAGTGGCTTGGATTACAGAAGTTGGAGATCTTTAATAGAATTAGACAGCTTTTCAGGTTTGCACAAAGTCCCCTAGAAGCAGATCAAAGTGGGAGCACTAGCTCTAGTCAGGTTCATTGTTGGAAACAAGCTTCCTATAAAAATGCACCCAATGAAATCATTAATGTTACAGAGGTTATCTTTCCTCCACACATCCCACTTCAAGAATCCCCCAGGGGTGTGCTCCCAGTGGTCTCCTTGGGGTAACCAACCACCCAAAATGGCATAACTCACCGTTGGCCTCTTCCAGTGTATTTGACGCAGCTTATCCTCTGGGAGCAGGTTGGGACCGATGGAGCTGACATGAGCAGGGAAGGTGGCATCCTCAAAAAGCACTCCTTGGCTCAAACACAAGGCTCGCAGGTGGTTGAAGTCCTGGTTATTAAATTTCTTCAGGTTCTGGAGGCTTCCCGTTGTCCCTGCTGCTTGCCAGCCCCGCTCCGACGTTAGACCAGAGCCAGGGGCAAACATTGTGCTCCTTTCCTGTGAAGGGGAGACATAGACTGCTATTAGTTTCCTGATCAAAAGTGGTGCGCTAGGAGTGTATGGGAAAGCAAACACCTCCCCCTGCCCCCGAGAGTTTGGTGCTTGCAAAGCTGGGGGCAGTCACAGTGACAAAATCCTTATTAGCTAGAAATGCATGGGGAAAGAGTTGTTGTCAAATCCCAACTGGTTTATCTCAAACCAGTGCTGTCACTGCTACAAGTTCAATTTTGAGTCTACCCTGAAGACAGGGAGCAAAGCTGTTAACAAGCCGCTGTGTTAGCATTGAGGTGCAACACAAGTGAGCATGAGGGATGGAGCAGGAGCTGCAGACATAGGGGAAGATGGAGGTGTGTGAGCAGGAAGGATGCTGTGAGGTACCCAGGGCTCTTCTGGCCATGTATCATGCCTGTGCACATGGCATTTTTGAGTTGCTTTATTTCATTTCCATCGGTAAGTGCTTGATGGACTTACCTTTCCTTGGGTTCTGCTCCATCTGCTCCAAAGACCCCATGCGCATTGGGGGTGGCTTCCAACCAGCTTATACAGACAACCCACTAGACTCCCTACAGTGCTGATATAGGACCAGCAGTTCCTGCCCACGGCTTCCACTTAAGATGTATCTTCTCATAAATTAGCACTAGAAGATCCACCACATGCCCTGGGCAAGCCACTCCTACATTTAATTAACCAACTTCACTGTGTTAATTTCTAGCCTGGAGTCACTTAGTTCCACTTTTAAGTCACAGGATGTCACATCTTTCCACTCCCCCCCCTTTTCTTCTATTTATTTATTTATTTATTTACAGTTTTGGTAGATGAAAGGCTCTTTCCTACCAAACAAACTCATCTGTAGGTCCAAGATGTTCCTAGTGCAGCACAGAGAGCAGATGGCTCCAGTAAGAGCAAAGCCTCAGATTTGTGTAGGGAATCATTCACACATGTGAAAAACACACTGAAGGTGTGATACAGCCCCCCCCCCCCCCCCCCCATGTTTTTTCTTAGTGTAATCCCCATTCTCTATCCTTCAAGTCACTTGGCCTCCTGGCCTTGTAACAACAGCATAGAAAAAATAAGGAGTTTTGCATCTCATTGTTTTAATTAAAAGCCCCACAAAAAAAATCAGATAGAATTCAGAAACCTCCCTCGGCCAATAAGAAGAGAACGTTCCCCTTGGGCTTGCATTTTTTAATACAATGGAAATAAATCTCATGTAATGTACCATAACACGACAAGGGAATGGCTTCTTCTTAACAAATACTCATTTGAAACTGTGCCCAGGCCCCATGCATGCTAAGATCTATTTCTTGCAACAGCGTTCCAGCAAAACTGATTAGTAATTCCAAAACTCAAATTAAAACTAGCAGAGCTTGAAGGCTGGGTCTGACACACGTTCCCTCTCTTCTGACAGAGAACAAGAGTTTTTAGCGTGTGTATGTGTGTGTGTTTAATTGCGTTGTTTAACATATCCGGAATAAATTAGCATCCAGACTGAAGAAAAGAGTACACTTAACTGCTTCTCCCTGGCAGGGATAACTTTATCAGCACTGTGTCTGGGGGCACACATGCACAGATACACAAGCAATATATCCATCCGTGCCACTGTGCAGGCAGCGATACCTAGCCGGCGTTGTCCTGCCTGCCCCAGCGCGCTCTGCCAGCCACTTCGATTGGAGGGGGAAGCATCCTGAACCCTGGCCACAGCCCTCTCCTGGTTAACCCTCACGGGTGCATCAACAGCAGCCTTTAGAGGAGAATATTGCCTACCTGGCAGGGGGAGCTTCTTACCATTACTGAACTCTGAGACAGAAAGACTTTAAAGGGACAAAGTCATAATGCAATAGGTCTCAGAGGCATTGCCCTTGGACTGGTCCTTGCTACAAGATGTTGGAGGAGATTGGGAAGGATTTCAAACACTTGCAAAAGCTGGTGTCAGACATAGAATCAAAGAATAGTTTGGGTTGGAAGGGACTTTAAAGACCATCTAGTTGCAACCCCCTGCATACACATCTTTTGGGTACAAATGTCACGCGTCACACAAACTCTGGAGAAGAACAAGAGACCGCCTCTCAGCTAAGGACAGAAATCATTATTCACAAGGGATTAAACATTTACTTAGTCCTGGCATCTCCTCCAAAACATTTATTTACCCGAAACCTGGAAAGGTGAAATCACACCCCAATTTGCATCTGCTGCTCTTTTTTGATTCCTCTTCCTTCCCAGCAGGGAGAGATCCGTTTTCTTGATGGCTGTCTCAGAGGGTCGAATTGTGAGGGTGGGGAAGGGAAGTAGAACAGTGGAAAAGCTACAGAGAGGATAAAAAGAGATCAGGTGCGACAGTTGGAAGGGATGGGAAATAAAGGGGGAGTCCTTGAGGATATCAGAACAAAAAGGTTGGTGAACCCTGCAGAAACTAAACCTGGGAACGACAAACACCCACCATTTCCTGCATTAAACAGCTTAAAAACCAGCAGCAAATGGTGTCTCTCGTTTCCCTCCAGCATTCATTCATGAAAGATGTCAAGCCACTATTATAATCAGGTACTCAATGGTGGCAAATGCTACTGACAGCTAATTACACTTTGCATAAAGATTTATGTCAGAGTACAGACATAATTTCCTTCAATGGCTCCTGATATTTTTCACTGAGTAAAAAGTAGAAACAGGCAATTAGAAAACATGCGTCTGCTTCACAGTGAACCCTCTCCTTTCCAATGATTTCTCAAATCATTTCCATTCCATGATGGCTCAGATGGCTTTCTGTACCTTAGGAAGAGCAGCTGAATTTTCTCAAACAATACAAGGAACACAAGAAAAGCCAAAAAGCCAGCAGCCCTTCTTTTCCTGCTTCCCCTCAAACACTCCAAACTATCAATCAAAGGTTTCATCTCACCCATAATATTCAATATATACTACAGTAACTCAAGCACTTTTTCCCTCTAAGATGCTGCTATTCACGTATTTGGAGCATTGTAAAAGCTTCAAGGAGTCAGCTCCAGAACTGTCTTACAATGAAGGGAAGTGTGAGTTTGTGGGCTCTCCTTGCATTCAGATTAAAAACGCCGACAGCAAAATGAGCAGGCAGAGCAAGGAGCTGAACTTGGGCATCCCAGACCTCAGATGGACAACATCTCCTTGTACATACAATGTGTGAAAGCCTTGAGAGCACAGAAAATCAAAACCAAAGCCAGGCATCTGGCAGTCCTCCAGGAGATTACATCCCCAGTGGCATCTTGCACAACCTTCTGCTCCAAAAAGCCTATGAAATACTCCCTCCTGGCTATTTATTAAGTCAATTTTCTCCTCATTTTGCATACATAGCATAGGACAGTTCCAGATACCTTTTTTCTACCTCATTTAACAGCAGCCTACAGTAACTATAGAGACCTCCTCGTCTTAGGATCTCCACTCCCACTTGATTCAATTACTTCTGACAACTTACCATTTTACTATGAGGCTCTTTCTAGGACAGCAAATTCATCTTTTCTTCCCCTCCAGGTACCATTAAGGACAGGAACTCTAATTTATTCTATCTCTCCAAGCGAAATCGTTCTCAGTGTGTCTGTGGTGCTTTCCCAGCACCATTACATGTATTTCACCTGCTTCATCTTGTACTAAGTAAAACAGCAAAGGGATGTTTTACCTGCAATGCCTCCGGTGTAACTCTCCAGCCGACACCAACAGTGACAAACTGGCTGGCACTACCCATGTTCTCCTTTATAGGGCAGCTTTTGCCACACCTTAAGTAAACATAACTGAGTTGAAATCAAGTTCAAGGCCAAAAGCAAGCAATCTGACTTGGGTGTAATAGTTTCATGCAGACATCATACCATGGGGAGATATATATACATCTATTAGCCATCCACAACGAGTTACCTATCAATCCATGTCAGCTGACAGATCCCTGTTAAAGTTATGCTTATTAGAGAACAGGATTTGTTTGCACCTCCCACATTTTTACGTTATCTGTTTTCCTCCTCAAACCATCAGGAAATGCAGCAATCTCCCTGGATCCAGGCACAGCCTGGCAGGACTCACCAGGAGACGAGTTATCAGAGCTGTGTGTCATTCTTTCTGCAGCAGCAAAAGCAGTGGATACTCTAATACCCGTTAGCATTTACACTGGGCTCTTAAATTCACATCAGTTCTCCCTCTTGGTATTTCATTTCCTTCAGGACTGCTTGAGGAAGTAAGAGTTATCCACATATTTAGGAGACCTAGGGGACCGGCCTTCATTATCCTAAAGCCTAAAGCCAAAGAACTAAAGAGTATCTAGCAGAAGTACGGGAAGGAGAAGGTCATTTCATTTTTGGAAGGCCAAACTGAGATAGCCTAAAGAGACACAAAATTCAAGGGAATGAGTGCGGCCCATTCTCAGGGACACATTCCCTGGCAGCAGTCCTGAGTGTATTCCTATAGCCTGTAAATGTGTTTTCGAAGGAAAGGCACTCGATGTCCTGGTGGACAGCAAACTAAACAAGAGCCAACAATGTGTCCTTGCAGTACAGCAAACCAGCAGCATCCTGGGCAGCATGAGCTGCAGCATAGCCAGTGGGTGAAGGCAGGTGATCCTTCCCCTTTGTGCAGTGCTTTTGAGGCCGTTATCTGCAGTGCTGTGTCCGCTTTGGGGCTGTCCAGTGTAAGAGGGGCACTGAGAATGCAGCAAGTCCAACAGAAACCCAGCAGGATGGTCAGGGAGATGGAGTACATAGTGTGAGAGAAGAGGCTGAAAGAGCTTGTCTGCTCGTCTACGAGGAAGAGACCTAATTGTAGCCTCCCACTATCCAAAAGCAGTTGCAAAGAAGGTAAAGCCAGACTCTTCTTGAATGGAAACAGCAGACAGGCTGAGTCCTATTGACTCTGCACAAGCAGCAGCAAGGAAAATTAACACAAGGTTGGAGTAAGGAAAGTCTTCAGGGTGGTTTAGCTGAGGAACAGATGCCTGGAGGGACTGGAGCATCTCCACCCCTGGAGACATTCAGCTGATCAAGGCCATAAAC